ATAAAAGTGGAACAAATGCAACATTTCATCCGGGAGATACATTCCAAATGGTATTTAATGACATAAGTTCTTTAGAATATGTTTATAGAGTTATGAGCATATATGATTTAATATATCCTATAGGAGCTATTTATACGTCTATGAATCCAATAAATCCAAACACTTTATTTGGTGGTAGATGGTATGAAATAGTTGACAGTTTTCCATTCTACACTAATACGCAGTCAATGAAGATGGGAGGTTCAAAGAAAATAGGTATTGAAAACCTTCCTTCACATATGCATAGGTTCAGTGGAAGAACATCTGTGGAAGGAAACCATTCACATTCAATAACAAAAAGAGGTTATATAAATCTTGCAGCGGGTTCGGATAGATGGGGAATGAATAGATATGATATCTCAGATGACCCCAAAGATGTTAGCACAGGTATTTTCTGTGGAACTGCAGGAAATCATACACATGTTGTAGCTGGTATTACAGACCCAGCAGGTAATGGAAAAGATTATATGCCTCCTTATATAACAATGCACGCTTGGATACGAGTTGGTTAAACTCTTTAACTTTACATAAATGAGCTTGAAAGAAGTATTCGAACAACATCCATGGAGGTCATTTAAGAAGTTCAATGAAGCAGCAAAAAGTTGGGGATTTACTAACAGAGCTGAAGTTAAAAAGTTCTTTGACAAAAATGTTGTACATCAAACAAAAATAAACCCTTACGACTACTTTTTACCAATTTACTCCAACACTCCTGACGCATACCAATTTGACACTCTCGTTCAAAGCAGAAAAGGAGGACATAAACCATTCCTCATCTTCATTAATGTTAACACTCGCAAAGCATATGCATATCCAATGAGGAATAAAGGAACTCGTGAAGTGTTAAGAGTTTTACAAAAGTTTGTAGCAGAACATAGCCCAAGTACTTTAACATCAGACCAAGACAGTGCATACCTCAGCAATGAAATCACAGATTTTCTCATTAAGCATAACATAACTCACTACACTACTGAAGACCATAACCATAACATACTCGGCATCATAAACCGCTTCATAAGAACGCTCAGAGATTTAAATCAAGAGCGAGACTTTACCGAAGAAACAATGAAACATTTTCTCGAAGTATATAATTCCTCAACACATTCTACAACAGGACATACACCAAATTCAATGACACAACAACAAGAAGAAAAGTATATACAAAAGAAACGAAGTCAAACACAAAATATCAGAAATTCAACACAATTTACCCTCATTCCTGGTACAAAAGTTCGTGTAGTTCTTGACGACAAACCGTTGACAAAGAAACGTTTAAGGTTAAGTCGAAATTATTATATCGTAGACTCTACGCAAGGTAATGGATATCTTATAAAAGCTGCTGACGACTCCATAGCGTTTTACCCTCGTCATAAATTAGTCGAAAGTAGTAATGGCAAACTTGCTGAAATCATTGACGAAGCAAAGCGAGGAGTGGTTATTGAAATACTTGGCTATAACACAAACGATGACACTTATAAAGTAAGATATGAAGGAGGCGTTGAAGATGTTATACCATCTAAGAACTTGAGAGAATCGAAGCCAACACATCTGGGACCATTAGAGCGGGAGTACTGGAAAGACAAAAATATGCCAGAAAGAATAAGAAAATTCTTCTAAACTTTTTCATTAGATGTAAATCAGACAAAAATATATTTTAGGTGAAGAGGTGAGATTTCACCTAATTTCTCACCTAATTTCTCACCTCCTTTTTCACCTGTTTTCTCACCGCTTAGCGGCTCAGATTGCTTTTGCTTTCTCGTGAATTTTCATGAATTTCCTTAAGATAGAAAAAATAAAGTTAGTTTTATTTTTATTTATTTTTTTATCTTGTATGTAAAGATATGATTTCAACAATAGGTTCTACAACAATTCAAACAACTTCAGCACCAAACTCGCTAGTCATGAATCCTACATCTATGTTGGTAGAGATGAAAAGCTTCATTCCTTCTTCATATACTTTTGAGACAGAAATACAAAGAATTAAGCAAGAACTTTTAACAAGTAATTTAGACTGTAGTGCGAAAGATGAAACAAATGAACAGTATCTTTATGACATGCAGGACATTATTGACCATTTACCCAAATTGCCTGAAATCCAACAACAAAAGCTCACTATTCATGAATTCGATGAAATAGAAGTGAAACCAACTGACTCAGTAGAAATAAAGAAGTTCATACGTAAAGTAAACTATGAGTTTCTAGGATATCATTGCAACCATAAAGTTATGAACAAAGATTGCGACATGGTTTATAAAAACATTTCTGACATATATAAATCTGAGGAGTTTAAGACTTACGATAACTTTGTTTCATTAGTTGCTGAATGTGTGCGGCAGATAAGAGATAAAGATAAAAGATGTAAAATATGGAATGGACAAATAAAACCAACAACTTTTGAGTTAAAGAAAACCATTGACGCCTTAGTTGTTCTAGCTGGTAATGTTTCAATGTATAACGCAAAAATGAATCCGCAATGTTCAAAATGTAAAGCAGCAATGAGGAAATATAACTACTCACTAAAAGAGATAGAACGTATGAGAAACGACTATGCTGACTTAAAGAAAGAAGTAGAGAAACCAGCAGAAGATAAAATGGACATGTTAGCATTTCTGAACAAAAACTATCCAACAGCTGACGATTTCCTTCTATCTGACGTCAAGAAGAAGTATAAAGAAACTTTCGGCATTGTTAAAACTTTTGACATACTGACAGAAGAAATAGAAGCTACGAAATTGTTTAGAATTTCAAATATACATCGTACAATTCATGTAAAATGCTTATAAAATAACTGGGGTGAAAAATTAGGTGAGAAAACTGGTGAAATCTCACCTCTTCACCTAAATTATATTTTTGCTGAAAATGACCAAATTTCATGAATTTTCATAAAAGATAAAAATAAAGTTAGTTTTATTTTTATTTATTTTTTTATTTTGTATGTAAAGACAGTAATGTCAACATCAGAGAACACAACAACTGCTATCGTTCATGAAGCCATAAATGAAGAATATGAATACATACAATATAACAAACAACTTCGCCTCATTCGTTCGGTCAAAGATGACATGTACCAAATGCAAAGTATAATGAATGCTCTTCGTTCTACAAAGCAAGCATATCATTGGTTTGAAAACCAACAGACAAAAGAACTTTTAGAAGAATTTCCTCATATGATTGCTTCCCTCGGAAAACCGAGAGAAGAGATTCCGTATGAAAATCGCAAGAATTTGGCACCTGGTTTGAAAGGATATTATGTTCATAGACTTTTAGTAAATGCTGTAGCAATGTGGGCTTCACCTCGTTATGCTTGTTATATTTTCATGATGTTAGATGAACTATATAAAGCAGAACGTGGAGAGATGGAAAAGAAACTTCAAGCAAAAGATGAAGTCATTGAATCCAAAGACAAAAGCATACAGAAAAGAATACCACGTTCAGTACCAAAAGGAAAGGAAAAGAGTTATAAGTATATGATATATACTGAAGAGTTGGAGAAAGAAGAAGATAAAGATATGGTTATGTTGCATTTAGTCAGAAGAAACAACAAGAGCTTTTATGACCTTGCTAAGATTTACAAATCTGACAGAAACTGGTTCTATCGTGAAAACTTACCGATTTCAATGACACCGAATGAGCAAATAAAGGAAATTGTCAAAAGTACTCTTCCTCAAACACACTATGACATCAAAGGTTGCACAATACTTACATTCAAAGAAGACTTACCATTACTGAAGGAAAAAATAACAGAATATTTCGATAACTTCAAAGAGGAAGAATAAAAAAATATATTTTTGCTTAAATGACGTCAGGGTCAATTTCTTCAACCATTTCACTTTCTTCGTCAATGTCAATAGAAGCTTCTTCAACCTTTGGTAAGAATTTCTGTATAACATCTTTGTTCGTTATTGTCTTCAGAGATGAAGGATAATATTTCACATTTGTTTCACCCTTCTTATATTCTTTCTGTTCGGAAAGATTCATAGCAATACTGAAGAAGTCAATGTTAGAGTTCTTTATGACAGTATAATGAGTATCTTTGACATTCACGAAGAAACCCTTTTGTTTCAAAACTACTGCTAACTCTTGTGAAGTATAACGTTTGCGGTCAATGACAATAGCTAATGGTCTGACATACTGACCAAACTTAGATTCTTTCACAAACTTCTTGTTAAAGATAACATTAACGTTTGAAGCACCATTGAACTCATTCTTGATGGCAGTAGCGAGAGCATTGTATGAAAAGAACTTGCAATCTTGCATGTGTTTCATTAAAATAAAAATATTAAATTATTTTGAAAAATAACTTAAAAAAAATCTAATCTAATTTTTTCAAAAAAATATTTTTTTATTTCCTACTAAAGATGTATCGGAAGTTGTCTAAGTTAGAACACTCGGAAATAAAACAACTTCTTACAGAAGCTAACATAGATGTTGCAAAACATTACGCGACAAACAAAAAAGCACTCGCTGACATTCTCAATGACTACAATGGTGAAATAACTTATGATAGAATTCATGAGTTCATAAATGCAAGAGCATTTCCTTTAAATGACGTTGCTATTGACTTATATCATAGACGTTCAATACCTCATGAAGTAAGGCGTGAGATGTTTGACATAACAAATGCGAACGTTGGTCATACTCGTAAAGCTCTTTCTCATGATGTTCGTCAAGAGATGTTTGAACTTACGAACTCAAACGTTGGTGAAACACGAAAGAAAGATGACACACTGAAACAACAGAGAAGAGAGATGTTTAAAAATGCTATAGAACAAGTTCGCAAAGCTAACGATGTCATTCGTTCCATTGACGACAAACCAAAAGAAGGTGAGAGATGGTTAAAGAAAGATGAAGAGAATAGGAAGAGAAATGTGAAGTCAGGCAATAGACTCATTGACTTTAACATCGAAGCTTTAGATGAACCAAACAGAGACTACTTACACAAACATTTCGGTAAGGTTTTCATGAGACTCTTAGAGAAGATTAAAATAAACTCACAACAGAGATGGATGGTATGTTATAAACTTGGTGGAAAGTATGAATGTTCTACGTTAAACCTCAATAATATTGGAACATTACTACATCAGCGCTTGAAGGAGAACTTTATATCAGAGATAGAAGCAAATGCTGCAGGTATTGTTGAAATGCACTATGACTTCTTCTTGACAAACATAAAGAATCTTACTGAAATAAAGATGTATGATTTAACAGAATATGAAGGCTTAACGATGTCAGATGTAAAGAAAGGAAAGCCACAGAAGCGACCATATAGAGATGAAAGCACACTGACAGAAAGACAGAAAAGATTATTGAACAGACTTAAACAAACAGGAGATAAACAAGATATAGATGACTTCTGGAATGAAATCCTTGGTGAAAAGAAGTTTTATAAGAAGAGAAGCGGTCAGTTCTGGAAGTATCTTTGCACATTACCTATAAATCTTGAACGCTACCAAATCTTCAATGAACTGAACAAAAGAACTGCAACACTTATGACAGAAGACAATTGTTTCGTTTATGCTTGCATTCAGGCTGGAGTAAATGAAGAAACTATTGACCACATGAGAGAAGTCATTCGTGTTAGAGACTTTCCTCAAAGTAAAGTACAAGAAATTTCTGACGCAACCGGTATAGCAATTAATGTTACCATTGGTTATTTCGACAACTCCAAAGATAACAGAATAATTCACTACATACCAAAAGAATGTGAAACTGCTCGAACTATTGACTTACTTCTTGTTGAACACCACTACATGCTAAATGAAAGATTACCAATGACAACATATTTCATTCACAACTATATAGAAATCTTGAAGGAGTGTGGTGGAATGAACATTGAGAAACAGATGAAGATTTATACAAAGAGAGAAGATAAATATGTAGTTCGTTATGATAGAACAACACCGTTATGGGATGTTATGAAAACATTGTGGGAGTGCAAATATTTCGAACCTATTTCTTATGGAGAACTTTTCACATATACGACTGACTTATATAAACAGAACCTTGCACCATTTAAAGATTTGACATATGCTCCAAAGTATTGTGTACAACTGAAGAAGAAAGCAGAGTCAAAAGAAGTAAATAAAAATAAGTGCAAGTTCATTCCTGAGCACGTTTTCTTTGCTGACTTTGAATGTAGCACAGACAGCTTTCATAAAGCTTTTAACATATGTTACGACAGTGAAGATGGTTCAGTGAGTGAAAGCATTTGGGGTCAGAACTGTGCAACAGAATTTTTGGAACGACTTCCTGACAAGAGTTTAATATATTTCCATAACCTCAGTTATGATATAAACTTCATCTTAAGACACATGACAGAAGTGAAAGGAACTCCCATCATTAAAGGTTCACGAACAATGCAAATAACTGGCTTATATAAAGGAAGGGCAATTATTATAAAAGACTCTTACAGTGTTATAAATAAGAAGCTTAAACTATTTCCTGCTATGTTTAACTTACAAACAGGACCGAAAGAAGTATTTCCATACAACTACTACAGCAATGTTTTATTAGCAAATGACAACAGAACTGGTGTCATTTCTGAAGCGTGTAAGTTTGTAAGTTAATATTCTGTCTATGTCGAAGAGAATAATGAATGAAGTGTTTTGCACGATTGAAGACTTAGGATTAAAAGCATTTTATCAGGATACAGATTCGATGCACATTTACAATGAAGACATACCACGTTTAGCTGAAGAGTTTGAGAAACGTTATGGAAGAGTTCTCATTGGTAAAAACCTTGGTCAGTTTCATAGTGACTTCGCAGAAATAACACCTGGAAAACAAAGTTTAGCATACAAGTCAATATTTTGTGGAAAGAAGACCTACATAGACTTACTCACTAACGATTTAAATGAAGTTGCATTTCACTGCAGAATGAAAGGCGTGAAGCAAGATGTTATTGCTTTAACCGCTAATGAAATGTTTCCTGACTCTGTTCAGTGTTTCTATGATGAAGATAAAGGTTTAATGGTTCCGCAAGGAACATATGACAAAGACTCTGAGTTCAGTGTTATGCAGTTATATAAAGCACTTTATGACGGTCAAGAGATTGGATTTGACTTATGTAAGTCTTCTAGTCCTTGCTTTGCTGAAAAGTTTAACTTCTCAATAACGACTAAAACAAGCTTTATTCGTAAGTTGAAGTTCTGAGGTCATAAATGATAAAAATAAGCCGCTAGCGGCAAGGCGAAGCCCATGAAGTCGTTTATTTTTGTCATTTATGATGTCATTTATGAGGTTATTTATAAAACTGCGATTGTTGAATTCAGCAATTGTGCTTCGATGTAGAGACAGTCTTTATGGTCTGGAGGTAAGAACACTGGGCAGTTATGGTCATGAGTGGAGAACATGTCTATCCAAAACTCACGATTGAAGCCAGTTAATTTATAGTATTTAGGGTTAGGAAGTGATGAAGTTCTTGTATGACCAATGAACTCATTTTCAACGCCTTTGGCTATATTAGAGAAAAGAATAGCTTGCTTTCTATCCCAAATGCCAGGTGTTACAATCTTTGAAAATTCATTTTTCCTCGGAAGCATTGCATCATAATTGAAAACATTCTTGAAATCATCACTTGGTTCAGAGATTTGAAATCTTATACGTAATGGATTTTCTTTCTCTTTAGCGACTTCATTGAATGGTGAATATATAACAAACTGACAGTCATGTGTTCCATCTTCATTTTCATTAAATTCATAATGAAAGTCTATAAGTTGTGGCTGACTACCTTCTTCTTTCAGTTGTGCAAGAAACTCACGTAAAGGCTGTAAAGTTTGTACTTCAATGTTAAACTTTTTCTCGAACATTTCATTAAATGAAATCATACATTGCAACAATGTTGTATCGTCTTTAAAGTATTTGTATATGTGAATGTTTTGGGCGCTTAAAGACTGTTCGTCATTTTCTATCTCGACTTGAAGTATAAAGTCAACCTTTCTGAAAGCACGTGTTATATACATAGATGTTATGCCAATGTACTTCTCTTCATTTATGTTCACAATCCAGTCTGTTGGAAACTTAAACGTTACTCTGTTCCCCTTTATTTTGACGTCAGGGTTTTCACTACTGAACGCAACAGATAAAGGTATTTGTCTATACATTTAATTCGGATAAAAATAAACCATTTACTCTTTCTTTGCTTCAGCTTCTTTAGCTTTTTGTTCTTTCTTTGCTTTTGCTTCTTCTCTAGCTTTCTTTGCCAGCAAACGTGGGTTCTTTTGTCTTCCAGCAGCTAATGCAGCAAGTTGTTTTTCACTAAGTTTTCTCTTTGGTCTCTCTGGCTTTTGTTCTTGTTTTTGTTCCTTCAGTTCGGATAAAATTTGCTCACGAATTTCTTTCTTCAACGCTTCAACATCTATGACCCCTTGGGTCTTGTCCGTAGGGCTTGTCTGAGTCATTTGACTGCAGATAAAAAACAAAATTAAAACTTTAACCGATGTAAAATGAGCTTGTCAAAATCAGAACGAGAGTCTATTATATTAAATGACGCCAGAGGAATACAACATCCTTTCTATTACGTAAGTCAGAGTAAAGATGGTAAAATATATGTAAGAAAAAGAAAGGTTCCATTAGCGAATGCAGAAAGCGACAACATTAAGGTGCATGGCAAGGGTGAAGTCCATATAAAACCTTCTATTCAAACTGAAAAGTCAATAGAACAAGAGAAAAAAGAAGCCAGATGTACTTTCAATAACGAACCAAGAGCTTATTGCAAAGTTCGTGAATTTCATTGAAAAACAAACCGAGTCAAAGAACCCTGACCCGCCAGTGAAAGAAGTTGAGACAAAAGAGAATGTACAGTTCATTGAAAATGTCAAGAAACAACTTCCACCACGAATGCCAAGAAGAAGAGTGAGAATAATGAAGTAAATAGATATTTTTATCTGAAGTAAATACATGCAGAACGAACAGCTAAACGAATTTACTCCAGCAGAGCATATTCATCAGATTCGCTCATATTTCGATATCATAGACAATGCAGTTCAAATTGGTGACACTAATAGAAAATATTCTGACGCAAAGATTCCATCACAACCTGGAACTGCTAAAGATAATACATGGGTAACATTCAATCTCTCACCTCCTGGTGAAAATATGTTGGACCTTTACAATACATTCATTACGTATAAAATGGAAGGTCAATTTATTGTAGATAAAGAAATTGGTTCAGGTTCCAATAAAACAAACCCACCAGGATTTTGGATTGGTTTCGATGACGCTTTCTATGCAGTTGCTGGATATCAAATCCTTGCAAATGGTCGTATCGTATATTCTCAAGACAACGCAAGAGAAGAAGCATATATAACTTCAAACTCACAAACTACCGAACAAATAAAGAAAGTAGATGTTTTCTCAAAGACTCGACATGAAGATGTATGGAGTCATTCGGGAACATGCAGAACAGGACAAATTGTTAGTGGTCCAATTACAGCAGGAAAATCATTTGATTTTAAGCTTCGTTTAAGAATTCCTGTTAGAAAAGTTTTTACCATTAGAAGCTATAAGATTTATTCCTGCATTTGCTGGTAACATTCAGCTTAAAGTAAAGTTCAGTAGCGACGCCTTACAATGCACATCTATATCTGTAAATGATATCATTGCTTTCAATCCAACTCTTAAAGTTGCATTTGCTTCAGATTCAAATCCACCGACAAATAAATTTGTTCCATGGAATGAACCATTCACTATGATAACGAAGGCAGTAGAAGCTAGTGGAAAGTTACTATTACAACTGTAACCCAGCAACTATTTCGAACAAAGATGGATTTTAATGAATGTTTCATTCATCCAAATCATTCTCTTTAGACCCTAACATTTATACAGAACTTGTAGAACATTATACAAACGAGGCTTTATGTTTTCCTGTTAAAGTTATGGATTGGATTCCTATGGACGGTTCATTTCAAAGAATACAGATAGTTCAAGTGCAACATTTACAGCAGCTTATACGCCTATTAATGTTAAAAGTATTTGGGCACTATTTAGAAAGAAAGACAACTATTATGTTAATTTTGAGAACCCTAAGTTTAAATATCTTCAGCTTTCCATGGGAGCTTATGGAAATATGCCTGCAGAACCTGAAAATCATATGGACCTGTATTTTATGAATGGTTGCGAACGCCTGCAATACAAACAATGATATGATTGGATTTAATGAAGATGTTATGAGGTCATTGGTGGATGATGGTAGTGTGGAACAGAAATGGGATAGCTATGACAACACACATTTCTTATGTGGTTTTCCAACAGAAGTGGACTTTTGCTTCCAGCAAGGTCAAACATCTACTGCTCCAATAACATACAAATTGTCTGTTAAAGGACCTATTGAACTAGCAACTGAAAACGTACCAAAGCCACTTATTGGATTTATGAGGGATTGTTGCTTTGCCATTCAGGTGCGTGCTAATGGCATCCCCATAATAAGATTAGATGACTATAACTTAGCTACGGACGACAGTGAGGAATAAAGGATGAACGTTTATTTTTAAAGCTTATAAATGAGTTCTTCATCAAGCTCTCGTGAACCTTCACCATCTATGAAACAAACTTTACCAAACGATTATGGAGCACCTATTAAATATTTCTTACGAGCTGCACAATGGCAAAGAGCAGTCTCACCAAGGTTAGGTGTTCCACCAGCTCCTGTCAAAAATAGCATTTGGTCAAGTCCTTATATAAAATATGGTCTCCCACTAGGTTTGCTAGCTACAGCAGGAGCAGTAATGATGTTGAAAAGAAATAAAGCAAATGTTGTAAATAATACTGAAGTAGCTGAAGTTAAACAAACTCCGACACCTTCGCCAAAACCAACACCTTCACAAGCAAAACCTTCAATGACTCCTGAACCTATGGAATTACAAACTCCTGTTCAAAAGTCAACTCCAAAACCGACTCCAACATTTAAACCAGAACCTACACCACAAATAAATCGTAAAACCCCTGTGTTTCCTTACTGAAAAAATAACGTTATTTTATTTAATATTAAAATTTTTATTTGATTGAAATGACAAATAAAGTCACTGAAGCAATGAAACAAAAGTTTTTGGTAGAATACATTAAATCAGGAACTATTCCAGAAGGTTTTTACATTCATACTATGAAGGATGGTAGAGTTCAGTTTAGAAAGATAAAGCAACCATTAGATAAAGAAGGAATTTTGAGAAAGATTAAACTTCATGAGGACAACATTGCTGAACTTAAGAAGAAGCTAGAAGAGTTGGAGAAAGGAAGAGAGTTATAAAGCAATGAATTCAACAGGGTGAAAAAAGAGGTGAAAAAAGAGGTGAGATCTCACCACTTCACCTAAATTTATTTTTGTGCTATGTTTTCATACGCGTGAGGGTGGTGATATCATTTATTTTTAAGTTTATTTTTAAGTTTATTTTTATATAAATGACGAAAAGTATTGAGATAAAAACTACAAACGGTCATGAGTTCAAGAATTTGTTCTTCGTTCCTCGTGAAAATACTTCTATCAGATACGAGGGAGAAAGGGTAAAGTTAGTTTGAGCGTTTATGATAGTAAACATAATGGAAAGTTTATACAAGCATATGATACAAACGGTAAACGTGTTTCATTAGCTTTGTCAAAACTTACTAACATTTATTTTGACAGTGATTTTGACCTATATGAAGAAGAAAGTGAGTCAGAAGATTATGAGTTGTTATGTGAAGCACAGCAATGGGAGGAGTTGCAATACTTTTGTAAGTGAGAACGTTTATTTTTACATTAGTGAAGTCGTTTGTGAAAACATTAGTGAGAACGTTAGTGAGAACGTTTATTTTTTCATGCACGTGCATTGTGTCGTGGGGAGTTGCCATGGGCAATGACCTGCGCACAATATATAACGTACAGAGAGGTGAGATGAGGTGGTTTATGTGATAAATACTTTACGTGGCAGAAATAGTTTAAGGTTATTAGAAATATTGCATCTGTGATGTAAAATATACGTTAGTGGTTTTGTAAAGTGCCAGATTGACATATCTTCGGTAAGATGGCGCGCAGTGCCACAGTACTGAAGATATGTATACTAACTTCCAGCAAGGTCAAACATCTACTGCTCCAATAACATACAAATTGTCTGTTAAAGGACCTATTGAACTAGCAACTGAAAACGTACCAAAGCCACTTATTGGATTTATGAGGGAATTGTTGCTTTGCCATTCAGGTGCGTGCTAATGGCATCCCCATAATAAGATTAGATGACTATAACTTAGCTACGGACGACAGTGAGGAATAAAGGATGAACGTTTATTTTTAAAGCTTATAAATGAGTTCTTCATCAAGCTCTCGTGAACCTTCACCATCTATGAAACAAACTTTACCAAACGATTATGGAGCACCTATTAAATATTTCTTACGAGCTGCACAATGGCAAAGAGCAGTCTCACCAAGGTTAGGTGTTCCACCAGCTCCTGTCAAAAATAGCATTTGGTCAAGTCCTTATATAAAATATGGTCTCCCACTAGGTTTGCTAGCTACAGCAGGAGCAGTAATGATGTTGAAAAGAAATAAAGCAAATGTTGTAAATAATACTGAAGTAGCTGAAGTTAAACAAACTCCGACACCTTCGCCAAAACCAACACCTTCACAAGCAAAACCTTCAATGACTCCTGAACCTATGGAATTACAAACTCCTGTTCAAAAGTCAACTCCAAAACCGACTCCAACATTTAAACCAGAACCTACACCACAAATAAATCGTAAAACCCCTGTGTTTCCTTACTGAAAAAATAACGTTATTTTTATTTAATATTAAAATTTTTATTTGATTGAAATGACAAATAAAGTCACTGAAGCAATGAAACAAAAGTTTTTGGTAGAATACATTAAATCAGGAACTATTCCAGAAGGTTTTTACATTCATACTATGAAGGATGGTAGAGTTCAGTTTAGAAAGATAAAGCAACCATTAGATAAAGAAGGAATTTTGAGAAAGATTAAACTTCATGAGGACAACATTGCTGAACTTAAGAAGAAGCTAGAAGAGTTGGAGAAAGGAAGAGAGTTATAAAGCAATGAATTCAACAGGGTGAAAAAAGAGGTGAAAAAAGAGGTGAGATCTCACCACTTCACCTAAATTTATTTTTGTGCTATGTTTTCATACGCGTGAGGGTGGTGATATCATTTATTTTTAAGTTTATTTTTAAGTTTATTTTTATATAAATGACGAAAAGTATTGAGATAACAAACTACAACGGTCATGAGTTCAAGAATTTGTTCTTCGTTCCTCGTGAAAATACATTCTATCAGATACGAGGGAGAAAGGGTAAAGTTAGTTTGAGCGTTTATGATAGTAAACATAATGGAAAGTTTATACAAGCATATGATACAAACGGTAAGCGTGTTTCATTAGCTTTGTCAAAACTTACTAACATTTATTTTGACAGTGACTTTGACCTATATGAAGAAGAAAGTGAGTCAGAAGATTATGAGTTGTTATGTGAAGCACAGCAATGGGAGGAGTTGCAATACTTTTGTAAGTGAGAACGTTTATTTTTACATTAGTGAAGTCGTTTGTGAAAACATTAGTGAGAACGTTAGTGAGAACGTTTATTTTTTCATGCACGTGCATTGTGTCGTGGGGAGTTGCCATGGGCAATGACCTGCGCACAATATATAACGTACAGAGAGGTGAGATGAGGTGGTTTATGTGATAAATACTTTACGTGGCAGAAATAGTTTAAGGTTATTAGAAATATTGCATCTGTGATGTAAAATATACGTTAGTGGTTTTGTAAAGTGCCAGATTGACATATCTTCGGTAAGATGGCGCGCAGTGCCACAGTACTGAAGATATGTATACTAACTTCCAGCAAGGTCAAACATCTACTGCTCCAATAACATACAAATTGTCTGTTAAAGGACCTATTGAACTAGCAACTGAAAACGTACCAAAGCCACTTATTGGATTTATGAGGGATTGTTGCTTTGCCATTCAGGTGCGTGCTAATGGCATCCCCATAATAAGATTAGATGACTATAACTTAGCTACGGACGACAGTGAGGAATAAAGGATGAACGTTTATTTTTAAAGCTTATAAATGAGTTCTTCATCAAGCTCTCGTGAACCTTCACCATCTATGAAACAAACTTTACCAAACGATTATGGAGCACCTATTAAATATTTCTTACGAGCTGCACAATGGCAAAGAGCAGTCTCACCAAGGTTAGGTGTTCCACCAGCTCCTGTCAAAAATAGCATTTGGTCAAGTCCTTATATAAAATATGGTCTCCCACTAGGTTTGCTAGCTACAGCAGGAGCAGTAATGATGTTGAAAAGAAATAAAGCAAATGTTGTAAATAATACTGAAGTAGCTGAAGTTAAACAAACTCCGACACCTTCGCCAAAACCAACGCCTTCACAAGCAAAACCTTCAATGACTCCTGAACCTATGGAATTACAAACTCCTGTTCAAAAGTCAACTCCAAAACCGACTCCAACATTTAAACCAGAACCTACACCACAAATAAATCGTAAAACCCCTGTGTTTCCTTACTGAAAAAATAACGTTATTTTTATTTAATATTAAAATTTTTATTTGATTGAAATGACAAATAAAGTCACTGAAGCAATGAAACAAAAGTTTTTGGTAGAATACATTAAATCAGGAACTATTCCAGAAGGTTTTTACATTCATACTATGAAGGATGGTAGAGTTCAGTTTAGAAAGATAAAGCAACCATTAGATAAAGAAGGAATTTTGAGAAAGATTAAACTTCATGAGGACAACATTGCTGAACTTAAGAAGAAGCTAGAAGAGTTGGAGAAAGGAAGAGAGTTATAAAGCAATGAATTCAACAGGGTGAAAAAAGAGGTGAAAAAAGAGGTGAGATCTCACCACTTCACCTAAATTTATTTTTGTGCTATGTTTTCATACGCGTGAGGGTGGTGATATCATTTATTTTTAAGTTTATTTTTAAGTTTATTTTTATATAAATGACGAAAAGTATTGAGATAACAAACTACAACGGTCATGAGTTCAAGAATTTGTTCTTCGTTCCTCGTGAAAATACATTCTATCAGATACGAGGGAGAAAGGGTAAAGTTAGTTTGAGCGTTTATGATAGTAAACATAATGGAAAGTTTATACAAGCATATGATACAAACGGTAAGCGTGTTTCATTAGCTTTGTCAAAACTTACTAACATTTATTTTGACAGTGACTTTGACCTATATGAAGAAGAAAGTGAGTCAGAAGATTATGAGTTGTTATGTGAAGCACAGCAATGGGAGGAGTTGCAATACTTTTGTAAGTGAGAACGTTTATTTTTACATTAGTGAAGTCGTTTGTGAAAACATTAGTGAGAACGTTAGTGAGAACGTTTATTTTTTCATGCACGTGCATTGTGTCGTGGGGAGTTGCCATGGGCAATGACCTGCGCACAATATATAACGTACAGAGAGGTGAGATGAGGTGGTTTATGTGATAAATACTTTACGTGGCAGAAATAGTTTAAGGTTATTAGAAATATTGCATCTGTGATGTAAAATATACGTTAGTGGTTTTGTAAAGTGCCAGATTGACATATCTTCGGTAAGATGGCGCGCAGTGCCACAGTACTGAAGATATGTATACTAACTTCCAGCAAGGTCAAACATCTACTGCTCCAATAACATACAAATTGTCTGTTAAAGGACCTATTGAACTAGCAACTGAAAACGTACCAAAGCCACTTATTGGATTTATGAGGGATTGTTGCTTTGCCATTCAGGTGCGTGCTAATGGCATCCCCATAATAAGATTAGATGACTATAACTTAGCTACGGACGACAGTGAGGAATAAAGGATGAACGTTTATTTTTAAAGCTTATAAATGAGTTCTTCATCAAGCTCTCGTGAACCTTCACCATCTATGAAACAAACTTTACCAAACGATTATGGAGCACCTATTAAATATTTCTTACGAGCTGCACAATGGCAAAGAGCAGTCTCACCAAGGTTAGGTGTTCCACCAGCTCCTGTCAAAAATAGCATTTGGTCAAGTCCTTATATAAAATATGGTCTCCCACTAGGTTTGCTAGCTACAGCAGGAGCAGTAATGATGTTGAAAAGAAATAAAGCAAATGTTGTAAATAATACTGAAGTAGCTGAAGTTAAACAAACTCCGACACCTTCGCCAAAACCAACACCTTCACAAGCAAAACCTTCAATGACTCCTGAACCTATGGAATTACAAACTCCTGTTCAAAAGTCAACTCCAAAACCGACTCCAACATTTAAACCAGAACCTACACCACAAATAAATCGTAAAACCCCTGTGTTTCCTTACTGAAAAAATAACGTTATTTTTATTTAATATTAAAATTTTTATTTGATTGAAATGACAAATAAAGTCACTGAAGCAATGAAACAAAAGTTTTTGGTAGAATACATTAAATCAGGAACTATTCCAGAAGGTTTTTACATTCATACTATGAAGGATGGTAGAGTTCAGTTTAGAAAGATAAAGCAACCATTAGATAAAGAAGGAATTTTGAGAAAGATTAAACTTCATGAGGACAACATTGCTGAACTTAAGAAGAAGCTAGAAGAGTTGGAGAAAGGAAGAGAGTTATAAAGCAATGAATTCAACAGGGTGAAAAAAGAGGTGAAAAAAGAGGTGAGATCTCACCACTTCACCTAAATTTATTTTTGTGCTATGTTTTCATACGCGTGAGGGTGGTGATATCATTTATTTTTAAGTTTATTTTTAAGTTTATTTTTATATAAATGACGAAAAGTATTGAGATAACAAACTACAACGGTCATGAGTTCAAGAATTTGTTCTTCGTTCCTCGTGAAAATACATTCTATCAGATACGAGGGAGAAAGGGTAAAGTTAGTTTGAGCGTTTATGATAGTAAACATAATGGAAAGTTTATACAAGCATATGATACAAACGGTAAGCGTGTTTCATTAGCTTTGTCAAAACTTACTAACATTTATTTTGACAGTGACTTTGACCTATATGAAGAAGAAAGTGAGTCAGAAGATTATGAGTTGTTATGTGAAGCACAGCAATGGGAGGAGTTGCAATACTTTTGTAAGTGAGAACGTTTATTTTTACATTAGTGAAGTCGTTTGTGAAAACGTTAGTGAAGTGAAGTGGTTGGCGGCTTTGTAAATATTTAATGTTAAGTTAGTGTTGTCGTTTGTGTTGTAATATACGTTAACAGTTTCGTAAAGTGTCAAATTCACATATCATGGGTACGGAGGCGCGCAGTGCCGCCGTACCCTTGATATGTATACTAACTTCTGTCGTTAAAGTTCCAGACAGTGAACTCATTGAATTTCTTCAACGTTACATTCGACGTAAGAGGAAATATTATGCCATCGTAGAGTTCATACAGTCAGGAATGCAAAAGACTTCTGAGGAGATGGAAAGAATTATTGACAAACACCACTTACGTCAATACTCAGGAGTTTACGATATGAAACGACTTACAAACTACATTCTGTCAAAACTTTCAAAATACCCCTTCAAAAAGTATCCTTCAAACACTCTGCTCGTTTGTGACGACTTCGCCGGAAAAGGTTTAGTGTCAAAACCAGACTCACCATTAGCTAACATCATAACTAAAGTCAGACATTACCATTTAACTGTAGCAATACTTATGCAAACATGGCGTTTTCTTGCTTTAAACATAAAACGTCTCATAACTGACTTCGTTATCTTTCAAGGTTTCTCACGCTATGACATTGAACTCATTTGGAAACAGTCAGGTATAACATTACCTTTTGAAGAAATTTGGGAAGCATATAAGTCTCTCATCTCTCCTCGTTCATACCTTGAGATTCATATCATGACTAATACCATTAAAGTCAAAAATATTCCATGGGAACGACCAACATTGTTTTAAAGTTTAACCTTCAATTGACTGATGGTAAACAAATTCCATGCATCTCTGTCGCCATTTCTGTTAATATTTTTGCTGTCATTCATATCATCCACTTCCCCATCCGTTAGCTTTTGAGGATATGCGTTAGAATAGCTGTTCTTAAATGAAGGCTTTTCACCTTTGAGAGCATAAACTCTATAACTTTCTGCATACTTTATGTTTGAACCTCCTGAGCCATCATTGACATAAATTTTTATAGGTTTCCACCCTTTGTTCATATTCCTGCTTCTTCCCTTAGCTCTTTTGTTCAGTAGTTCTACATCTTTATACACAGCTCCTGTCTCAGTGAATTCAACAATATTTTCATTCGTTAGCTTTACATTCAAACCCTTGTCGAGTATATTGTTCATTTCATACATATAAAAGGTTTTTATTCTATATGAAATGAGAAGCAAATCCATCTTAGCTGGTGCCGTTAATGTTCCAATTGAACCAACATCAAATGTTGACTCACGAACGACAAACAATATTGTCATAAAGAACTATAGTTCGGAGTGTTTGAAAGAAAAAGAACCAGATCTTAAGTCGGTGAATTTAAACACAGCTTCAAACGCTAACGCTACATCAGATGTTAAGTTAGAGTATCCACCACTGGACCAAGTTCTTTCAAGAGAAGCCAACGACAACCCTTACACAAATGTTCAAACAAATCCTTCAGATAACGTAGACCATTACCTTCTTCAGTTATACCAAACAATTTTACTCAAAGACGATAAGAAGCTTTTGACAAATCTTATAAGTAAGAACCAAATAATTCTAACAAAGGAGGACCTTGAAAATGTTATATCACGAATAACAGGGAAACAATGTGTCATTGACTATCTCGACCCTGAAATCGAATGCTGTGGTCAAACTCCACTATTCATGAAAATAGGTAACATCCGCATCATTGAAACACCAGGAACTACAGGAGTTGAGTTTAAGTATAAATATTCGAACGAGTATACAAAACTATCTACTGACTATAAGCTTTGTTTGAAATATGTTTTAGTAAATTAAAGCAGTCAGGACCTTCGGTCTTGGCGCTTTGCGCCGTCAGTCAAAAAATTTCAAGTTAGCAATTTGTAATATCTATCCAAAACTTCTTCAACAGTATCGAACTCATCTTCATAATGCAAACCTAATCTTATTGACTTGGTGCAGTTTTCACTAACACAATATTTTTCTGTTCTCTTGACTGACATAACTAACTCATTTGTTTCATCAAACAGCAACAACCAAAGTTCATGACCTAATACATAACATTCATACTTTATATTTTTAGCTCTGAGTTCTCTTGTAAGCTGTTGCATTTAATATTTTCTAAAAAGTCAACTTCAACAGTCATTCGCACTGGTGCCTTCAGTTCTACAGGCTCTCCTTGAAAGTCAACAAGTCTGAATTGCATGTCTTTCAAATTATGAGGACTAATGCGAACCCATTTACCTAAATGAGTTGCTATGACAGGAACGTTTGGAATGAACATTGAATTTACTTCATAACAGAAGGATTTATATTCTACTGAACCTTTACTATTAACTCCTGAAATGCCTGTGACATTAGCTATTTTTGACTCAATGTATAAACAATTACCATAACATACGTATGGAACAGATTTCATCTCAATCGTTTTGTCAACACTTTTCAAAGGAAATGTCATATGGTATGCACCCAAAAGAAGTTGTACTCTATGACTCATTCTTGGTATCTTAAACTCTTTCTCGCTGCTGAACTTCAATGTTCCCTCAGAAGAGAGTTCGACATCTATGTTGTTAATAGTTTCTTCATTTATGAGAGTATCTATGACTCCAGCAATTTTATCTATTCTATACCCAGCTCTGTTAGGAAATGTTATAACACTTCTTTTGTCATCTATTTCAATCTCTATGAAATCTGTTTCATCTGTTATGACAAAAGTTGCGATAGTATTGAAGTCAACAACTCTGAAAGCAAGCGCTTCATTCTGAAAACCTAAGTTTGTTTGTAGCTTTACTGTCCCGTATTCGTTTGGGTCTGTACTTTGCAAATAGAACAACATTTTATTCTCATTAAAATATGACTATTGCTGCATATGCGTATGAAACAAATGAAGCAAGAAGAGCACATGAACTAGTAAACGAAAACTCAACTTTAACCATTGAAGGCAATGATTTAGTCATTGACGATGGAAAGACTAAAAAAGTCATTGATTTCGATACTTTTAACACTTATGACCCATTCATTACAACAAGCAAGGTTCCCATCATAAATGATGGAACGGTGCAATATATAAATTCTACAGTAGATGCCTCATTAGTGAAAGTATTAAATGTTCTCATTGAATTGTTAAAGAGCTTTCGATTTGACGACAACATTAAATGCCTAAAGAATTTAGTCATGAATGAGAAACAAATTCTCGGCGTTGCTGGTAGCAGTAATGATGTACACCTTATGATATTAGAATATTATAACGAACATAAAGATGAACTGAAAGGAGAGAAGGGTGACACCGGACCTCAAGGACCACAAGGAATACAAGGAATACAAGGAATACAAGGACCTCAAGGCGAAAACCGTTTGGATGGTGAAGATGGAAAGGGTGGAAAAACTGCTAAATCATGGATATGGAACCTTATAAATACTGGTTTAACAGCTGCTTCATATGGAGTTCTTCAATACCAAATCGGAAAGATATGGGCAGTACTTGGTGAAGAAGTTTTAGATGACGTTAAAAATGCTTTGAACTTCATTTCAAATGGTTCGGATACTATTAAAACTTTATCTGGTTGGATGCAAGAAACAAGGAGTCAAATAGATACTGTAAGACGTATAGCAAACAATGCACGTACGGGATTGGATACTTTACGAGAAGCACAAAATACACTAAAGGAAGCAAATGATATTCTTGGCTCAGTATCAGACATGCATGAAGATTGGCTTAAAGGTATTGACAAATCTTTAAAAAATCACAGTCAGTCTATTGCTGACTACAAGAAAAGTATAGATTTTTTACATAGTGCTATGGACGTACATGATGGAAGCATAAGGAACTTACTTAATGCTAACAATAACTTACCAGGAACTATTAAAGCATTTATAAAGTCCTTTGTAAAACCTGGTGCTCTAACATTTAGGTCTTTGAGAGCAAGAGCATTGAAGTCAAGAGATGCAGAAACTCCAACAGAACCTACAGAAGGAACTGAAACAACAGAAACTCCAGAAGAACCACCAAAACCAACAGCTAATGAAATATTGTTCGAATATTTTCCAAGGTACTCTGTTCTCATTGCATACATTCAAGAAATACTTAAGAAAGCAGACTTGACTTTAGGAGATGATGAAAGTTCTGTAAATCTTTCGTTCCAGTTTCAAATAGCAGAACTTTTGAGACAGATATGCTTAATGTATGACAACATCTCTGATTTCACAAGATATGATGACGACCATGACCCCGAACACGGTGAAGAAGAAGTTTTACAAACATCCATTAAGACAGGAAAGGTTTTAACTCAAAGTCTCATTATTGACACCAAAGATGGCGAAGTGGACGTTCTTCAAGAGCTGAAGAAAAATACTTCTTCGGGAGGTGGTGGTAGGCATGAACTTGAAATAAATGAGATAGAAGAGAAATTAGCCGAAAAAGCAGATAAAAACCATGTTCATTATATAAGTTCAGACGAACAGATTATAACGGACTACCATGGATATTTAACACAGGATGAACAAATAAGCACTGAAGATGTTAATGAAAGAAGATATAAATTCATTCGTGCTAAAGGTTATGACATACACTGTACTGTACAGTATGACACAGGTAAAGCACCAGAAGCATTTGGTTATAACGATGAAATTTATGCTTCATACTTCTTTGTTAACGGTGTATTAGTTGAACCAAGATTTACTTTGAGAGTTAAGGCAAAAATAACGTTTGAAGATGCTATTAAAAGTAAAGCTGACAAAGATGAACTTGACGCAACGAACAAAGTTTTGAAATCTCATAAACACAATATCTCCGATATAAATGAACTTCAAGCTACATTAAATAGTAAAGCTGACAAGAACCATACACATGAATCCTTCACTACTGTTAGAGCAGACGACATAATATTGAACTATACCCTTGGTTCAAGTGCACCTTTAGAGAATCCAAGTACAAGCGTAAAAGATACACTAAACTCCTTAAATAGTAAATGTATGAACATTGAAGGTCATGTCAGAAACTTTGAAACATATAAACTACCAGCAATGTTAGATAAAAAAGCAGATAAAGAACATACACATAACTCCTTCTCAACTGTTGCTATAGAAAGTATTGAAGGAACGGTTGGCGGAACTGGTGGGGATGCATTATATTATAAACCTCCTAACTTTCCACAAGGTTTAACATCGAATGAAAACATAACAACGAAGAAAGAAATTAGCTGTAAAAATGTTTATGTCATGGATGATGAAAATAATGTTAAATTCACTGCTCAAGATTTATATGATAAAAAAGCAGACAAAACAGAGCTTCAAACATTAAAGACTGAAATACTTCAAACATTATATCCTATAGGCTCTATTTATACGTCAATGAACTCAACAAATCCAGCAAGTGTTTTAGGTTTTGGTACGTGGCAGCAGATTGTAGACAAATTCTTATACTGTGCTAACTCTTCAAAGCAAACAGGAGGCTCAAAGAAAATTAAAGAAGCAAACTTACCTGCGCACACTCATACAGGAACTACAAACTTTTCTGGCGACCATAGCCACTCATTAAGAGACCACCCATTATACAACTCAGACTATGAAGCCGGTCATGATGTTTTATCTCCATCTTATAACAATTCAGCAAAAAAGACTTTTCGACCAACTGAACCAGGAGGAAATCATTCACACACTTTCACAACAAATCCAACAGGCTCGGGTGAAGATTATATGCCACCATTTATGACGGTTTATGCATGGTACCGCGTTCAATGAACGCGCTTGAGCCTAGACCCTTTGGGTCAAGGCTTACCGTCTTGAATAAAATCTTTAACTTTACATAAATGAGCTTGAAAGAAGTATTCGAACAACATCCATGGAGGTCATTTAAGAAGTTCAATGAAGCAGCAAAAAGTTGGGGATTTACTAACAGAGCTGAAGTGAAAAAGTTCTTTGACAAAAATGTTGTACATCAAACAAAAATAAACCCTTACGACTACTTTTTACCAATTTACTCCAACACTCCTGACGCATACCAATTTGACACTCTCATTCAAAGCAGAAAAGGAGGACATAACCCATTCCTCATCTTCATTAATGTTAACACTCGCAAAGCATATGCATATCCAATGAGGAATAAAGGAACTCGTGAAGTGTTAAGAGTTTTACAAAAGTTTGTAGCAGAACATAGCCCAAGTACTTTAACATCAGACCAAGACAGTGCATACCTCAGCAATGAAATCACAGATTTTCTCATTAAGCATAACATAACTCACTACACTACTGAAGACCAAAACCATAACATACTCGGCATCATTAACCGCTTCATAAGAACGCTCAGAGATTTAAACCAAGAGCGAGACTTTACCGAAGAAACAATGAAACATTTTCTCGAAGTATATAATTCCTCAACACATTCTACAACAGGACATACACCAAATTCAATGCCACAACAACAAGAAGAAAAGTATATACAAAAGAAACGAAGTCAAACACAAAATATCAGAAATTCAACACAATTTACCCTCATTCCTGGTACAAAAGTTCGTGTAGTTCTTGACGACAAACCGTTGACAAAGAAACGTTTAAGGTTAAGTAGAAACTATTATATCGTAGACTCTACGCAAGGTAATGGATATCTTATAAAAGCTGCTGACGACTCTATTGCGTTTTACCCTCGTCATAAATTAGTCGAAAGTAGTAATGGCAAACTTGCTGAAACCATTGACGAAGCAAAGCGAGGAGTGGTTATTGAAATACTTGGCTACAACACAAACGATGACACTTATAAAGTAAGATATGAAGGAGGCGTTGAAGATGTTATACCATCTAAGAACTTGAGAGAGTCGAAGCCAACTCATCTGGGTCCATTAGAGCGGGAGTACTGGAAAGACAAAAATAAGCCAGAAAGAATAAGAAAATTCTTCTAAACTTTTTCATTAGATGTTAATCAGACATGAACGAGAACAGTCATGATATCATTAATGGTACCATTTATTTTAACATAAAGACGCAAAGCGGCGGTGCATAGCCCATGAACAAAAATAATTTTTAGGGTAGATGGGTATTTCTACCCACATTTCTACCCTCATGAATTTTCATGAATTTCCTTAAGATAGAAAAAATAAAGTTAGTTTTATTTTTATTTATTTTTTTATTTTGTATGTAAGAACAGAAATGTCAGTCGAAGCAAAAACATTCACGAACAAATCTAATGGCGAAACATTCAGTTAGTATACATATCAAGGGTACGACGGCACTGCGCGCCTCCTTACCCTTGATATGTGAATTTGACACTTTACGAAACCATTAACGTATATTTTACAACACAAACACAAACGACAACACTAACTTAACCTTAAATATTTACAAAGCCACTAACCACTTCACCTCACTAATGTAAAAAAATAAACGTTCTCACTTACAAAAGTATTGCAACTCCTCCCATTGCTGTGCTTCACATAACAACTCATAATCTTCTGACTCACTTTCTTCTTCATATAGGTCAAAGTCACTGTCAAAATAAATGTTAGTAAGTTTTGACAAAGCTAATGAAACACGCTTACCGTTTGTATCATATGCTTGTATAAACTTTCCATTATGTTTACTATCATAAACGCTCAAACTAACTTTACCCTTTCTCCCTCGTATCTGATAGAATGTATTTTCACGAGGAACGAAGAACAAATTCTTGAACTCATGACCGTTGTAGTTTGTTATCTCAATAGTTTTCGTCATTTATATAAAAATAAACTTAAAAATAAACTTAAAAATTAAATGATATCACCACCCTCACACGTATGAAAACATAGCACAAAAATAAATTTAGGTGAAGTGGTGAGATCTCACCTCTTTTTTCACCTGTTTTTTCACCCTGTTGAATTCATTGCTTTATAACTCTCTTCCTTGGTTTCTTTTTAGTTGCTTTCTTCACGTCTGTCTCCAACTTGACTGTCTTTCTTCTTCGTCCATAATGATACCAATTACTTCCACCAGTCAATGGGTCAAATGGTCTTTCGTAAGGGTTTCCATACATTCCATAGGACCATGGAAAACGCTGGTGGAGAAGAAACATTTTCTTTAGTTCCATCGACTCTATTTAAATGCATTGTTTCACCTTTCATCTGGTCATTAAAGTCTTTTGCGTGTTTTGCAAACTCATCGTCCTTTCCTAAAGCATTTTCTGACTCAGTCGCAACCAAATTGGATGCTTTATTTATGAGCCCTATTTTATTTAATCTTAACTTCTTTGCAACCCAGCCTCCAATCTTTCCTTTATTTGCATCTAATGTCTTCGAAACCCTTCCTCCACTCATTTTATTTACTGCGTCATAAGCTCCAAGTGCTTTTGCTCCAAATGCTAATGCTTTTGTTCCCATTGCGCCTAAAGCTGCCCAAGCTACCATTTACACCATATTAAAATCATCTCTCTTCAATATTATCTCATAAAAGTTCTCGTTACTGGAGAAAGTCAATGAAACATAAGCGTTCTCACGGGCTTCGCCCTCACCGCTTTGCGGTCTATCTAACTTCTTTCTTATCTCATCTATTCTCAAAATGTCTGAACAATTGCTAACATCTTCTACAACAGTTATTTCATCATGAATGACCTTCAAGAACAAGCTCATTTAATATGCTATTAAAATCATCTCAATAATGAGTCCATCCTTTCCATCTTTAGGTAGCACAACATCTTTCATTGAAGAAGGTTCGACAAGTCTTATGTTAAACTTACTGACAAAGTTTGTTATACTATAATGCTTCGGCGGCGAATACATATAGTTTGAAAGACATAATATAGATTCTTCAGCAAATTCACTTATACTGGATTTTATAACAATGTTCTCACGAGACCAAATACCACCAATTGACAATCTTGTAAGCAATCCTGCTGAACCTTCTACTGTAAACGTCGATGGTAACATTCCACGAAGGTCATCTATTGACATCGTTGAGTCACTGAATTTAAATATTTTCTTAAAGCAATCGTCATTATCTAACCATGCAATAGCTTTGAAGTTTTCATTCGAATATACATCTGCTTCATTAAATGTAAATCCTGACTTCTTTGCAGAGATGACTTTAAAATCTATTGAGTTTGTTTCAAAATTATATGCTATGGTAACTTCTGAAGGTAATGGATCCTTCCGCAGTCAGTTGTTCTCTCACTACCGTTTGAAGCTTTGTATTAAAAACTTTCATGTCATCTCCTGTGTCTAGGTTCACATACACAGCAACAGGAAAACTATCTTGCTTCTTTGTTTCATCATTATATCTCAAAACATTAAAGTTCTTCAATAATATTGTTTCTTCCTGCTGGAATACTTCGAACCTGTCTGATTTCAATAGCTTTCTCACCTCCTACATACTCTACCCAGTGTCTTGGATATTCATAAGTATACTGACTTTCTTGAATTTTGGTTGGTTTCATCATAACATGTTCATAGTATATCTTTATACTCTTGTCAGTTAGACTCGGTGCTATGTTCTGAATATTTCTGACTTGCATTTTTAATGGAGATAAAATGAAGCATTTAATACATGACGTAGATGAAGACATGAATGAAACTACAGACAAACTTAACTCTTCTCTCATTCTTCCTTTCAGCAAAGATTATGAGTTCTGTTCAAATGGTGTGTATTTCTATTGTGGAAAGATGGGTTCAGGTAAGACATTTAACCTCATTCGTCATATACTCATAACAGAAGCGTTTAGGAAACGACTCTTACTATGACCAAATCATTATATCAGCAACTTCAGACTCTATGGACTCAACAGCGAAAACATTTATGTCAAAAGTTCAAGCCTCTGTCGTTAAAGTTCCAGACAGTGAACTCATTGAATTTCTTCAACGTTACATTCGACGTAAGAGGAAATATTATGCCATCGTAGAGTTATACAGTCAGGAATGCAAAAGACTTCTGAGGAGATGGAAAGAATTATTGACAAACACCACTTACGTCAATACTCAGGAGTTTACGATATGAAACGACTTACAAACTACATTCTGTCAAAACTTTCAAAATACCCCTTCAAAAAAGTATCCTTCAAACACTCTGCTCGTTTGTGACGACTTCGCCGGAAAAGGTTTAGTGTCAAAACCAGACTCACCATTAGCTAACATCATAACTAAAGTCAGACATTACCATTTAACTGTAGCAATACTTATGCAAACATGGCGTTTTCTTGCTTTAAACATAAAACGTCTCATAACTGACTTCGTTATCTTTCAAGGTTTCTCACGTTATGATATTGAACTCATTTGGAAACAGTCAGGTATAACATTACCTTTTGAAGAAATTTGGGAAGCATATAAGTCTCTCATCTCTCCTCGTTCATACCTTGAGATTCATATCATGACTAATACCATTAAAGTCAAAAATATTCCATGGGAACGACCAACATTGTTTTAAAGTTTAACCTTCAATTGACTGATGGTAAACAAATTCCATGCATCTCTGTCGCCATTTCTGTTAATATTTTTGCTGTCATTCATATCATCCACTTCCCCATCCGTTAGCTTTTGAGGATATGCGTTAGAATAGCTGTTCTTAAATGAAGGCTTTTCACCTTTGAGAGCATAAACTCTATAACTTTCTGCATACTTTATGTTTGAACCTCCTGAGCCATCATTGACATAAATTTTTATAGGCTTCCACCCTTTGTTCATATTCCTGCTTCTTCCCTTAGCTCTTTTGTTCAGTAGTTCTACATCTTTATACACAGCTCCTGTCTCAGTGAATTCAACAATATTTTCATTCGTTAGCTTTACATTCAAACCCTTGTCGAGTATATTGTTCATTTCATACATATAAAAGGTTTTTATTCTATATGAAATGAGAAGCAAATCCATCTTAGCTGGTGCCGTTAATGTTCCAATTGAACCAACATCAAATGTTGACTCACGAACGACAAACAATATTGTCATAAAGAACTATAGTTCGGAGTGTTGAAAGAAAAAGAACCAGAATTAAGTCGGACCTTCGGTCTTGGGCATGCGCCGTGAATTTAAACACAGCTTCAAACGCTAACGCTACATCAGATGTTAAGTTAGAGTATCACCACTGGACCAAATTCTTTCAAGAGAAGCCAACGACAACCCTTACACAAATGTTCAAAACAAATCCTTCAGATAACGTAGACCATTACCTTCTTCAGTTATACCAAACAATTTTACTCAAAAGACGATAAGAAGCTTTTGACAAATCTTATAAGTAAAGAACCAAATAATTCTAACAAAGGAGGACCTTGAAAATGTTATATCACGAATAACAGGGAAACAATGTGTCATTGACTATCTCGACCCTGAAATCGAATGCTGTGGTCAAACTCCACTATTCATGAAAATAGGTAACATCCGCATCATTGAAACACAGGACTACAGGAGTTGAGTTTAAGTATAAATAATTCGAATGAATATACAAAACTTTCAACAGAATATAAACTTTGCTTGAAATATGTTTTAGTAAATTAAAGCAATTTGTAATATCTATCCAAAACTTCTTCAACAGTATCGAACTCATCTTCATAATGCAAACTAATCTTATTGACTTGGGTGCAGTTTTCACTTAACACAATATTTTTCTGTTCTCTTGACTGACATAACTAACTCATTTGTTTCATCAAACAGCAAACCAAAGTTCATGACCTAATACATAACATTCATACTTTATATTTTTAGCTCTGAGTTCTCTTGTAAGCTGTTGCATTTAATTTTCTAAAAGTCAACTTCAACAGTCATTCGCACTGGTGCCTCAGTTCTACAGGCTCTCCTTGAAAGTCAACAAGTCTGAATTGCATGTCTTTCAAATTATGAGGACTAATGCGAACCCATTTACCTAAATGAGTTGCTATGACAGGAACGTTTGGAATGAACATTGAATTGACTGCATAACAGAAGGATTTATATTCTACTGAACCTTTCTATTAACTCTGAAATGCCTGTGACATTAGCTATTTTTGACTCAATGTACAACAATTACCATAACATACGTATGGAACAGATTTTCATCTCAATCGTTTTGTCAACACTTTTCAAAGGAAATGTTATATGGTATGCTCCCAAAAGAAGTTGTACTCTATGACTCATTCTTGGTATCTTAAACTCCTTCGCATAACTGAACTTCAAAACTCCTGCAATAAGTTTAACATTCATTAAGTTTCTTCGTTATCCTTGTTTATTGTAGTATTTATGAGAGCATTTAACACTCCAGCTAATGTTTCCATCTTATATTCTACATTATTGTGAAATCTTATTTCGTGCTTCTTTCCATCTATTTCAATCTCCATGAAATCTGTTTCATCTGTTATACGAATGAAGCGATAGTATTGAAGTCAACCATTCTGAATGCAAGCGCCATTCTGAGACCTAAGTTTGTTTGTAGCTTTACTGTCCGTATTCGTTTGGGTCTGTACTTTGCAAATAGAACAACATTTTATTCTCATTAAAATATGACTATTGCTGCATATGCGTATGAAACAAATGAAGCAAGAAGAGCACATGAACTAGTAAACGAAAACTCAACTTTAACCATTGAAGGCAATGATTTAGTCATTGACGATGGAAAGACTAAAAAAGTCATTGATTTCGATACTTTTAACACTTATGACCCATTCATTACAACAAGCAAGTTCCCATCATAAATGATGGAACGGTGCAATATATAAATTCTACAGTAGATGCCTCATTAGTGAAAGTATTAAATGTTCTCATTGAATTGTTAAAGAGCTTTCGATTTGACGACAACATTAAATGCCTAAAGAATTTAGTCATGAATGAGAAACAAATTCTCGGCGTTGCTGGTAGCAGTAATGATGTACACCTTATGATATTAGAATATTATAACGAACATAAAGATGAACTGAAAGGAGAGAAGGGTGACACCGGACTCAAGGACCACAAGGACCACAAGGAATACAAGGAATACAAGGACCTCAAGGCGAAACGGTTTGGATGGTGAAGATGGAAAGGATGGAAAAACTGCTAATCATGGATATGGAACCTTATAAATACTGGTTTAACAGCTGCTTCATATGGAGTTCTTCAATACCAAATCGGAAAGATATGGGCAGTACTTGGTGAAGAAGTTTTAGATGACGTTAAAAATGCTTTGAACTTCATTTCAAATGGTTCGGATACTATTAAAACTTTATCTGGTTGGATGCAAGAAACAAGGAGTCAAATAGATACTGTAAGACGTATAGCAAACAATGCACGTACGGGATTGGATACTTTACGAGAAGAAGCAAAATACACTAAAGGAAGCAAATGATATTCTTGGCTCAGTATCAGACATGCATGAAGTTGGCTTAAAGGTATTGACAAATCTTTTAAAAAATCACATTCAGTCTATTGCTGACTACAAGAAAAGTATAGATTTTTTACATAGTGCTATGGACGTACATGATGGAAGCATAAGGAACTTACTTAATGCTAACAATAAACTTACCCAGGAACTATTAAAGCATTTATAAGTCCTTTGTAAACCTGGTGCTCTAACATTTAGGTCTTTTGAGAGCAAGAGCATTGAAGTCAAGAGATGCAGAAACTCCAACAGAACCTACAGAAGGAACTGAAACAACAGAAACTCCAGAAGAACCACCAAAACCAACAGCTAATGAAATATTGTTCGAATATTTTCCAAGGTACTCTGTTCTCATTGCATACATTCAAAATACTTAAGAAAGCAGACTTGACTTTAGGAGATGATGAAAGTTCGTAAATCTTTCGTTCCAGTTTCAAATAGCAGAACTTTTGAGACAGATATGCTTAATGTATGACAACATCTCTGATTTCACAAGATATGATGACGACCATGACCCCGAACACGGTGAAGAAGAAGTTTTACAAACATCCATTAAGACAGGAAAGGTTTTTAACTCAAAGTCTCATTATTGACACCAAAGATGGCGAAGTGGACGTCTTCAAGAGCTGAAGAAAAATACTTCTTCGGGAGGTGGTGGTAGGCATGAACTTGAAATAATGAGATAGAAGAGAAATTTAGCCGAAAAAGCAGATAAAAACCATGTTCATTATATAAGTTCAGACGAACAGATTATAACGGACTACCATGGATATTTAACCACAGATGAACAAATAAGCACTGAAGATGTTAATGAAAGAAGATATAAATTCATTCGTGCTAAAGGTTATGACATACACTGTACTGTACAGTATGACACAGGTAAAGCACCAGAAGCATTTGGTTATAACGATGAAATTTATGCTTCATACTTCTTTGTTAACGGTGTATTAGTTGAACCAAGATTTACTTTGAGAGTTAAGGCAAAAATAACGTTTTGAAGATGCTATTAAAAAGTAAAGCTGACAAAGATGAACTTGACGCAACGAACAAAGTTTTGAAATCTCATAAACCACAACATCTCCGATATAAATGAACTTCAAGCTACATTAAATAGTAAAGCTGACAAGAACCATACACATGAATCCTTCACTACTGTTAGAGCAGACGACATAATATTGAACTATACCCTTGGTTCAAGTGCACCTTTAGAGAATCCAAGTACAAGCGTAAAAGATACACTAAACTCCTTAAATAGTAAATGTATGACATTGAAGGTCATGTCAGAAACTTTGAAACATATAAACTACCAGCAATGTTAGATAAAAAAGCAGATAAAGAACATACACATAACTCCTTCACTACTGTTAGAGCAGACGACATAATATTGAACTATGATTTGGGTTCAAGTGCACCTTTAGAGAATCCGAGTACAAGCGTAAAAGATACTCTTAACAATTTAGATAACAGTTGCAGGAATATCGAAGATCATGCCAGAAACTTTGAAGCATATGAACTACCAACAATGTTAGATAAGAAAGCAGACAAAACAGAGCTTCAAACATTAAAGACTTAAATACTTCAAACATTATATCCTATAGGCTCTATTTATACGTCAATGAATTCAACAAATCCAGCAACAGTTCTGGGTTTTGGTACGTGGAAGCAGATTGTAGATAAATTCTTATACTGTGCTAGATATTCAAAGCAAACAGGAGGTTCGAAGAAAATTACTGAAGCAAACTTACCTGCGCACACTCATACAGGAACGACAAACTTTTCTGGCGACCATAGCCACTCATTAAGAGACCACACATTATACAACTCAGACTATAAAGCTGGCAATGACGTTTTATCTCCAGATTATAACCATTCAGCAAAAAAGACTTTTCGACCAACTGAACCAGAAGGAAATCATGTCCATACTTTCACAACAAATCCAACAGGCTCGGGTGAAGATTATATGCCACCATTTATGACTGTATTTGCATGGTACCGCGTTCAATAAACATACTTGAGCCTAAAATAAAATCTTTAACTTTACATAAATGAGCTTGAAAGAAGTATTCGAACAACATCCATGGAGGTCATTTAAGAAGTTCAATGAAGCAGCAAAAAGTTGGGGATTTACTAACAGAGCTGAAGTGAAAAAGTTCTTTGACAAAAATGTTGTACATCAAACAAAAATAAACCCTTACGACTACTTTTTACCAATTTACTCCAACACTCCTGACGCATACCAATTTGACACTCTCATTCAAAGCAGAAAAGGAGGACATAACCCATTCCTCATCTTCATTAATGTTAACACTCGCAAAGCATATGCATATCCAATGAGGAATAAAGGAACTCGTGAAGTGTTAAGAGTTTTACAAAAGTTTGTAGCAGAACATAGCCCAAGTACTTTAACATCAGACCAAGACAGTGCATACCTCAGCAATGAAATCACAGATTTTCTCATTAAGCATAACATAACTCACTACACTACTGAAGACCAAAACCATAACATACTCGGCATCATTAACCGCTTCATAAGAACGCTCAGAGATTTAAACCAAGAGCGAGACTTTACCGAAGAAACAATGAAACACTTTCTCGAAGTATATAATTCCTCAACACATTCTACAACAGGACATACACCAAATTCAATGCCACAACAACAAGAAGAAAAGTATATACAAAAGAAACGAAGTCAAACACAAAATATCAGAAATTCAACACAATTTACCCTCATTCCTGGTACAAAAGTTCGTGTAGTTCTTGACGACAAACCGTTGACAAAGAAACGTTTAAGGTTAAGTAGAAACTATTATATCGTAGACTCTACGCAAGGTAATGGATATCTTATAAAAGCTGCTGACGACTCTATTGCGTTTTACCCTCGTCATAAATTAGTCGAAAGTAGTAATGGCAAACTTGCTGAAACCATTGACGAAGCAAAGCGAGGAGTGGTTATTGAAATACTTGGCTACAACACAAACGATGACACTTATAAAGTAAGATATGAAGGAGGCGTTGAAGATGTTATACCATCTAAGAACTTGAGAGAGTCGAAGCCAACACATCTGGGACCATTAGAGCGGGAGTACTGGGAAGACAAAAATATGCCAGAAAGAATAAGAAAATTCTTCTAAACTTTTTCATTAGATGTAAATCAGACAAAAATATATTTTAGGTGAAGAGGTGAGATTTCACCTGTTTTCTCACCTGTTTTTTCACCTCCTTTTTCACCTCCTTTTTCACCTGTTTTCTCACCGCTTAGCGGCTCAGATTGCTTTTGCTTTCTCGTGAATTTTCATGAATTTCCTTAAGATAGAAAAAATAAAGTTAGTTTTATTTTTATTTATTTTTTTATCTTGTATGTAAAGATATGATTTCAACAATAGGTTCTACAACAATTCAAACAACTACAGCACCAAACTCTTTAGTCATGAATCCTACGTCAATGTTAGTAGAGATGAAAAGCTTCATTCCTTCTTCATATACTTTTGAGACAGAAATACAAAGAATTAAGCAAGAACTTTTAACAAGTAATTTAGACTGTAGTGCGAAAGATGAAACAAATGAACAGTATCTTTATGACATACAGGATATTATTGACCATTTGCCTAAATTACCGGAAGTTCAACAAGAAAAACTAACTATTCCTGAATTCGATGAAATTGAAGTTAAAGTTACTGATTCAGTAGAAATAAAGAAGTTCATACGTAAAGTAAATTATGAATTCCTTGGTTTTCATTGCAACCATAAAGTTATGAACAAAGATTGCGACATGGTTTATAAAAACATTTCTGACATATATAAATCTGAGGAGTTTAAGACTTACGATAACTTTGTTTCATTAGCTGCTGAATGTGTGTGGCAGATAAGAGATAAAGACAGAAGAGGCAAAATATGGAATGGACAGATAAAACCAATTGCTTCAGATTTAAAGAAAGCCATTGATGCTTTAGTTGTTCTAGCTGGTAATGTTTCAATGTATAACGCAAAAATGAATCCGCAATGTTCAAAATCTAAAGCAGCAATGAGGAAATATAACTACTCACTAAAAGAGATAGAACGTATGAGAAACGACTATGCTGACTTAAAGAAAGAAGTAGAGAAACCAGCAGAAGATAAAATGAACATGTTAGCATTTCTGAACAAAAACTATCCAACAGCTGACGATTTCCTTCTATCTGACGTCAAGAAGAAGTATAAAGAAACTTTCGGCATTGTTAAAACTTTTGACATACTGACAGAAGAAATAGAAGCTACGAAATTGTTTAGAATTTCAAATATACATCGTACAATTCATGTAAAACGCTTATAAAATAACTGAGGTGAAAAATTAGGTGAGAAAACTGGTGAAATCTCACCTCTTCACCTAAACATTATTTTTGGTCAAAGCTTCCACGAGAGAAAAGATTCCTCATTCGCTAAGGATTCCAAAAATGAAAAAAATCATTGATTTCGGCTGAGAAAAAACAGCAAAACCCTTCTTCCACGGGAACAAAGAAATAAAGAAGAAATAAAGTAAATTTTTTATTTATTCCCGTGGAAGATAGAGCACTTTTATGACACTTTTTATTCACGATAAACAAGACAAACAAAGAAAATAAGAAAATACGGCGCTGTCGCGGTTCGAACCACAGACCCTGACCCCTCCATAACACCACCTTAGACCACTGTGCTACGTAGCCTGTCGACATAAGATTTTATAAATTGCATATTTGACGTAAATTTATTTCCATCTGGCTTCCCACCGCATAAGATATTCATACGTGTTTGTAAGACATTCATTAAACTTCTTTTCTATTGCATCTAATCTTGCGTTATTTTTTTCAATAACTTGTCTGTATTCTTCATCATTTCCAGCAGTGTTTGGGTCTTCACGTTTAAAATATTCATTGTTAACCAATTTTTTATCTACAAATTTTATTAGTGTTTGATTCACTTCGTTATGATAACGGTCATATTCTTTCAATACGTAAGTGAAGACAAAATGCGTCGTACCTTCAATCTTAAAGCTTAAAGAACTTTCAACACAGTTTTGAGGGTCTGTCAGTGCGTCAATGAGATAGTATTCGAAGTCAGTCAATAATCTTTTTAAAGTCATTTCATACAGGATAAAATTTAATGTTGTGAAGAAATAGTGTTTATCTCAGAAAATAAAGTTAGTTTTATTTTTATTTATTTTTTTATTTTGTATGTAAAGACAGTAATGTCAACAACAGAGAACACAACAACTGCTATCGTTCATGAAGCTATAAATGAAGAATACGAATACATACAATATAACAAACAACTTCGCCTCATTCGTTCGGTCAAAGATGACATGTACCAAATGCAAAGTATAATGAATGCTCTTCGTTCTACAAAGCAAGCATATCATTGGTTTGAAAACCAACAGGCAAAAGAACTTTTAGAAGAATTTCCTCATATGATTGCTTCCCTCGGAAAACCGAGAGAAGAGATTCCGTATGAAAATCGCAAGAATTTGGCTCCTGGTTTGAAAGGTTATTATGTTCATAGACTTTTAGTAAATGATGTAGCAATGTGGGCTTCACCTCGTTATGCTTGTTATATTTTCATGATGTTAGATGAACTATATAAAGCAGAACGTGAAGATATGGAAATGAAACTTCAAGCAAAAGATGAAGTCATTGAATCCAAAGACAAAAGCATACAGAAAAGAATACCGCGTTCGGTACCAAAAGGAAAGGAAAAGAACTATAAGTATATGATATATACTGAAGAGATGGAAAATGAAGAAGATAAAGATATGGTTATGTTGCATTTAGTGAGAAGAAACAACAAGAGCTTTTATGACTTAGCTAAGATATATAAATCTGACAGAAACTGGTTCTATCGTGAAAACTTACCGATTTCAATGACACCGAATGAGCAAATAAAGGAAATTGTCAAAAATACTCTTCCTCAAACACACTATGACATCAAAGGTTGCACAATACTTACATTCAAAGAAGACTTAACATTACTGAAAGAAAAATAACAGAATATTTCGACAACTTCAAAGAGGAAGAATGAAACTTACCGATTTCAATGAAAAACATTAACTTTTTGACGAAGTGAAGATTTGCACTTTGTCAAAATTTAATGAAAACTTACCGATTTCAATGAAAACATTAACTTTTTGACGAAGTGAAGATTTGCACTTTGTCAAAATTTAATGAAAAAACATAATAAACATTAACGATAAAATTTATTTCCTGGACTGTTGTCAAATGTCATGTTGTCATCATTTTTAAAGAAGTTAATTAACCTGGTAGCACATGGTGACGTGGTGACACTTTCAGTTATTCAAATATATTTTTGCTTAAATAACTTCAGGGTCTATTTCTTCAACCATTTCACTTCCTTCGTCAATGTCAATAGAAGCTTCTTCAACCTTTGGTAAGAATTTTGTATAACATCTTTGTTCGTTATTGTCTTCAGAGATGAAGGATAATATTTCACATTTGTTTCACCTTCTTATATTCTTTCTGTTCGGAAAGATTTAAAGCAATACTGAAGAAGTCAATGTTAGAGTTCTTTATGACAGTATAATGAGTATCTTTGACATTCACGAAGAAACTCTTTTGTTTCAAAACTACTGCTAACTCTTGTGAAGTATAACGTTTGCGGTCAATGACGATAGCTAATGGTCTGACATACTGACCAAACTTAGATTCTTTCACAAACTTCTTGTTAAAGATAACATTAACATTTGAAGCATTATTGAACTCATTCTTGATGGCAGTAGCGAGAGCATTGTATGAAAAGAACTTGCAATCTTGCATGTGTTTCATTAAAATAAAAATATTAAATTATTTTGAAAAATAACTTAAAAAATCTAATCTAATTTTTTCAAAAAAATATTTTTTTATTTCCTACTAAAGATGTATCGGAAGTTGTCTAAGTTAGAACACTCGGAAATAAAACAACTTCTTACAGAAGCTAATATAGATGTTGCAAAGCATTACGCAACAAACAAAAAAGCACTCGCTGACTTCATTAAAGACTACAATGGTGCAATAAGTTATGATAGAATTCATGAGTTCATAAAGCCGCAACGCGGCGAGGACGAAGTCCATGCAAGAGCATTTCCTTTAAATGACGTTGCTATTGACTTATATCATAGACGTTCAGTACCTCATGAAGTAAGAAGAGAAATGTTTGACATAACAAATGCAAACGTTGGTGAAACAAGAAGAAGAGACGACACACTGAAACAACAGAGAAGAGAGATGTTTAAAAGTGCTATAGAACAAGTTCGCAAAGCTAACGATGTCATTCGTTCCATTGACGACAAACCAAAAGAAGGTGAGAGATGGTTAAAGAAAGATGAAGAGAATAGGAAGAGAAATGTGAAGTCAGGCAATAGACTCATTGACTTTAACATCGAAGCTTTAGATGAACCAAACAGAGACTACTTACACAAACATTTCGGTAAGGTTTTCATGAGACTCTTAGAGAAGATTAAAATAAACTCCAACAAGATGGATGGTATGTTATAAACTTGGTGGAAAGTATGAATGTTCTACGTTAAACCTCAATAATATTGGAACATTACTACATCAGCTCTTGAAGGAGAACTTTATATCAGAGATAGAAGCAAATGCTGCAGGTATTGTTGAAATGCACTATGACTTCTTCTTGACAAACATAAAGAATCTTACTGAAATAAAGATGTATGATTTAACAGAATATGAAGGCTTAACGATGTCAGATGTAAAGAAAGGCAAACCAAAAAAGAGACCATATAGAGATGAAAGCACACTGACAAATGACCAGAAAGCCATTTTGGAAGCTCTTAAGCAAACAGGAAACCCAGCACTTATAGAAAGCTTTTGGAAAGATAATGGTGAAAAGAAGTTTTATAAGAAAGAAGCGGTCAGTTCTGGAAGTATCTTTGCACATTACCTATAAATCTTGAACGCTACCAAATCTTCAATGAACTGAACAAAAGAACTGCAACACTTATGACAGAAGACAATTGTTTCGTTTATGCTTGCATTCAGGCTGGAGTAAATGAAGAAACTATTGACCACATGAGAGAAGTCATTCGTGTTAGAGACTTTCCTCAAAGTAAAGTACAAGAAATTTCTGACGCAACAGGTATAGCATTTAATGTTACCATTGGTTACTTCAATGACTCAAGACATAATGAAATAAAGAGATACATACCAAAAGAATGTGAAACTGTTCGAACTATTGACTTACTTCTTGTTGAAGACCACTACATGCTAAATGAAAGATTACCAATGACAACATATTTCGTCGCAACTATAAGAAATCTTAAAGTGTGGTGGAATGAACATTGAGAAACAGATGAAGATTTATACAAAGAGAGAGATAAATATGTAGTTCGCATGGATAGAACTACACCGCTATGGGATGTTATGAAAACATTGTGGGAGTGCAAATATTTCGAACCTATTTCTTATGGAGAACTTTTCACATATACGACTGACTTATATAAACAGAACCTTGCACCATTTAAAGATTTGACATATGCTCCAAAGTATTGTGTACAACTGAAGAAGAAAGCAGAGTCAAAAGAAGTAAATAAAAATAAGTGCAAGTTCATTCCTGAGCACGTTTTCTTTGCTGACTTTGAGTGTAGTACCGATGGCTTTCATAAAGCTTTTAACATCTGTTATGACAGTGAAGATGGTTCAGTGAGTGAAAGCATTTGGGGTCAGAACTGTGCAACAGAATTTTTGGAAGCGACTTCCTGACAAGAGTTTAATATATTTCCATAACCTCAGCTATGATATAAACTTCATCTTAAGACACATGACAGAAGTGAAAGGAACTCCCATCATTAAAGGTTCACGAACAATGCAAATAACTGGCTTATATAAAGGAGGGCAATTATTATAAAAGACTCTTACAGTGTTATAAATAAGAAGCTTAAACTATTTCCTGCTATGTTTAACTTACAAACAGGACCGAAAGAAGTATTTCCATACAACTACTACAGCAGTTTTGTTAGCAAATGACAACAGAACTGGTGTCATTTCTGAAGCATGTAAGTTTTAAAAGATATGAAACGTTCATGAAACATAGATTCCATCAAAGGTTGCAGAATAGATGAAACCACTTCGACTTAGAAAAATATAGCACATTTTATTGCAAACAAGATGTAAGAATTTTAAGAGAAGGTTTTGTTAAGTTCCGCAATGACATATTGAAAGAATTTGATTTAAACGTTTATGACTACGTTAGTATTTGTTCAATTGCTAACAAATTATTTGAGAACAGAGTGTACTTCCCGAATGGAAATTTATATGACCTCTCAAATAAACCAAGAGAATTTATTTCGAGCTGCATTCAAGGTGGAAGATGTATGTTGTCAGATAACATGAAACAAAAGAGCGAAAAGAAACTCATTGCTGATTTCGACGCTGTTTCATTATATCCATCAGCTATAGCAAGACTTTATACTTTAGAAGGAATTCCAAAGGTTATGAAGAAAGAAATGTTAAGCACAGAGTATCTCATGAGACATTTATTCGATGACGACCAAAAGGAACCCATTGGTGAAAAGTTTATGTCTGGCTTCTTTGTTCTCATTAAGATAACAGAGATTGGAATACATAGACACTTTCCTTTAATAGTTTGTGACCCTGAACTAAATCCAGAACTTAACGTTCCCAGAAGTTCAAACACTTGCTGTTTAATGTATGTTGACCATATAACATTACAAGACCTCATAAAATATCAAGGTGTCAAATGTGAAGTGTTGCAAGGATACTATTACGATGGAAACAGAGATATTAGAATAAGAGATGAAGTAAAGAAGTTGTTTGAGTTAAGGTTAAAGTATAAGAAAGAAGGAAATCCTTTGCAAGAAAATATAAAGCTCATTCTGAACAGTATTTATGGCAAAACTATTCTATCTCCTATTGAGTCAAAAATAACCATAGTAAATGACAAAGATGCTATAAGATATGCCATCAGAAACTACAACCATATAGTGAAGTTCGAAGGTTTGGATGGTTCAGATAAAACTATTTTCAAGCTAACGAAAAGCATTTGCAGACACTTTAACTTCTGTCCACTTGGTGTTAATATTCTATCTATGTCGAAGAGAATAATGTGTGAAGTATTCTGTACTGCTGAAGACATGGGTCTTCAAATATTTTACCAGGACTGTGATAGCATGCATATTTTCAATGAAGACATACCAAAGCTTGCAGCAGAGTTTAAGAAGAGATACGGTAGAGAACTTATTGGTAAAACATTAGGTCAGTTCCATTCTGACTTCGCAGAAATAACACCTGGAAAACAAAGTTTAGCATACAAGTCAATATTTTGTGGAAAGAAGACTTACATAGACTTACTCACGAATGATTTAAATGAAGTTGCATTCATGCACGTTGTAAAGGTGTCAAACAAGACGTCTTGCTTTAACAGCTAATGAAATGTTTCCTGAAGCTATACAATGCTATTACAATGAAGATAAGAACATTCACATACCTGTTGGAACATATGACAAAGACTCTGAGTTCAGTTTAATGAAACTTTACAAAGCACTTCATGATGGTCAAGAGATTGGATTTGACTTATGTAAGTCTTCTAGTCCTTGCTTTGCTGAAAAGTTTAACTTCTCAATAACGACTAAAACAAGCTTTATTCGTAAGTTGAAGTTCTGAGGTCATTTATTTTTGTCAGCAATGAGGTCATTCGTGATAAAAATAATGAGGTCATATATTTTTGTCATTTATGTATAACCATTGTCTCTCTTAAACTTTGCAATAGACAGCTTTGTTCTTCTTCCTTCTACATCTGTAATGTTTATATAATCTTTGTTATACTGTCTTAAGACATTCATTCGTCTGTATTGAGTTCCCATGAAATAGTAAAAGGCATCTTCACTTGGGACATAGTAGTAGTTCTCTAACGTGTGATATGAGTATTGTATAATTTCAACAGCGTCTTCAGGAAGAGAGTCAACAATGTCAAACCAATAGCCATTTGAACCAGAAATATTTCTCATGTTTTCTCTTCTTGTCGTCCATCTTAAGTTCGAGATATGAAAGTCTCCTCTGTCTCTGTTTATATGGTCTACTTCACGAAGTCCTTCAGGGTTCGGAATGAAAGTTTCTGCAACTATTCTATGTTTCATCAGCTTGTGTTTGTTTAAATTTACACAAATATAACCATCTCCTTGGTCAAACTCACTAACAACTCTTTTATTGCTTATACGTCTAATTGGATAAGGGTACTCTGAAAAGATTTCATAGTCATTGTCATGTTCGAGTGTTTGCCAATGTCCTTCACCTTCCATGCCTTTCACTCAAATAAAATTTTCAGAAAAAAATAAAACTAGCGTAGATTTTACAATACTGCGATGGTAGAGTTTAAGAGTTGTGCTTCAATGTAGAGACAGTCCTTATGGTCTGGAGGTAAGAACACTGGGCAGTTATGGTCATGAGTGGAGAACATGTCTATCCAAAACTCACGATTGAAGCCAGTTAATTTATAGTATTTAGGGTTAGGAAGTGGTGAAGTTCTTGTATGACCAATGAACTCATTTTCAACTCCCTTACTTAAGTTTGAATATAATATAGCTTGCTTTCTATCCCAAATGCCAGGTGTTACAATCTTTGAAAATTCATTTTTCCTCGGAAGCATTGCATCATAATTGAAAACATTCTTGAAATCATCACTTGGTTCAGAGATTTGAAATCTTATACGTAATGGATTTTCTTTCTCTTTAGCGACTTCATTGAATGGTGAGAATACAACAAACTGACAGTCATGTTCCATCTTCATTTTCATTAAATTCATAATGAAAGTCTATAAGTTGTGGCTGACTACCTTCTTCTTTCAGTTGTGCAAGAAACTCACGTAAAGGCTGTAAAGTTTGTACTTCAATGTTGAACTTTTTCTCGAACATCTCATTAAATGAAATCATACATTGTTGCAATGTTGTATCGTCTTTAAAGTATTTGTATATGTGAATGTTTTGGGCGCTTAAAGACTGTTCGTCATTTTCTATCTCGACTTGAAGTATAAAGTCAACCTTTCTGAAAGCACGTGTTATATACATAGATGTTATGCCAATGTACTTCTCTTCATTTATGTTCACAATCCAGTCTGTTGGAAACTTAAACGTTACTCTGTTCCCCTTTATTTTGACGTCAGGGTTTTCACTACTGAACGCAACAGATAAAGGTATTTGTCTATACATTTAATTCGGATAAAAATAAACCATTTACTCTTTCTTTGCTTCAGCTTCTTTAGCTTTTGCTTGCTTGCTTCTTCTCTAGCTTTCTTCGCCAGCAAACGTGGGTTCTTTTGTCTTCCAGCAGCTAATGCAGCAAGTTGTTTTTCACTAAGTTTTCTCTTTGGTCTCTCTGGCTTTTGTTCTTGTTTTTGTTCCTTCAGTTCGGATAAAATTTGCTCACGAATTTCTTTCTTCAATGCTTCAACATCTATGACCCCTTGGGTCTTGTCCGTAGGGCTTGTCTGAGTCATTTGACTGCAGATAAAAAACAAAATTAAAACTTTAACCGATGTAAAATGAGCTTGTCAAAATCAGAGCGAGAGTCTATTATATTAAATGACGCAAGAGGAATACAACATCCTTTCTATTACGTAAGTCAGAGTAAAGATGGTAAAATATACGTAAGAAAAAGAAAGGTTCCATTAGCGAATGCAGAAAGCGACAACATTAAGGTGCATGGCAAGGGTGAAGTCCACGAAGCCCATATAAAACCTTCTATTCAAACTGAAAAGTCAATAGAACCAGAAGAAAAGAAGCCAGATGTACTTTCAATAACGAACCAAGAGCTTATTGCAAAGTTCGTGAATTTCATTGAAAAACAAACCGAGTCAAAGAACCCTGACCCACCAGTGAAAGAAGTTGAGACAAAAGAGAATGTACAGTTCATTGAAAATGTCAAGAAACAACTTCCACCACGAATGCCAAGAAGAAGAGTGAGAATAATGAAGTAAATAGATATTTTTATCTGAAGTAAATACATGCAGAACGAACAGCTAAACGAATTTACTCCAGCAGAGCATATTCATCAAATTCGCTCATATTTCGATATCATAGACAATGCAGTTCAAATTGGTGACACTAATAGAAAATATTCTGACGCAAAGATTCCATCACAACCTGGAACTGCTAAAGATAACACATGGGTAACATTCAATCTCTCACCTCCTGGTGAAAATATGTTGGACCTTTACAATACATTCATTACGTATAAAATGGAAGGTCAATTTATTGTAGATAAAGAAATTGGTTCAGGTTCCAATAAAACAAACCCACCAGGATTTTGGATTGGTTTCGATGACGCTTTCTATGCAGTTGCTGGATATCAAATCCTTGCAAATGGTCGTATCGTATATTCTCAAGACAACGCAAGAGAAGAAGCATATATAACTTCAAACTCACAAACTACCGAACAAATAAAGAAAGTAGATGTTTTCTCAAAGACTCGACATGAAGATGTATGGAGTCATTCGGGAACATGCAGAACAGGACAAATTGTTAGTGGTCCAATTACAGCAGGAAAATCATTTGATTTTAAGCTTCGTTTAAGAATTCCTGTTAGAAGATTCCTTCCATTAGAAGCTATTCGATTTATTCCAGCTTTTGCAGGAAACATTCAGCTTAAAGTAAAGTTCAGTAGCGACGCCTTACAATGCACATCTATATCTGTAAATGATATCATTGCTTTCAATCCAACTCTTAAAGTTGCATTTGCTTCAGATTCAAATCCACCGACAAATAAATTTGTTCCATGGAATGAACCATTCACTATGATAACGAAGGCAGTAGAAGCTAGTGGAACAGTTACTATTACAACTGTAACCCAGCAACTATTTCGAACAAAGATGGATTTTAATGAATGTTTCATTCATCCAAAGTCATTCTCTTTAGACCCTAACATTTATACAGAACTTGTAGAACATTATACAAACGAGGCTTTATGTTTTCCTGTTAAAGTTATGGATTGGATTCCTATGGACGGTTCATTCTCAAAGAATACAGATAGTTCAAGTGCAACATTTACAGCAGCTTATACGCCTATTAATGTTAAAAGTATTTGGGCACTATTTAGAAAGAAAGACAACTATTATGTTAATTTTGAGAACCCTAAGTTTAAATATCTTCAGCTTTCCATGGGAGCTTATGGAAATATGCCTGCAGAACCTGAAAAATCATATGGACCTGTATTTTATGAAATGGTTGCGAACGCTTGCAATACAAACAATGATATGATAGGATTTAATGAAGATGTTATGAGGTCATTGGTGGATGATGGTAGTGTGGAACATAAATGGGATAGCTATGACAACACACATTTCTTATGTGGTTTTCCAACAGAAGTGGACTTTTGCTTCCAGCAAGGTCAAACATCTACTGCTCCAATAACATACAAATTGTCTGTTAAAGGACCTATTGAACTAGCAACTGAAAATGTACCAAAGCCACTTATTGGATTTATGAGGGATTGTTGCTTTGCCATTCAGGTGCGTGCTAATGGCATCCCATAATAAGATTAGATGACTATAACTTAGCTACGGACGACAGTGAGGAATAAAGGATGAACGTTTATTTTTAAAGCTTATAAATGAGTTCTTCATCAAGCTCTCGTGAACCTTCACCATCTATGAAACAAACTTTACCAAACGATTATGGAGCACCTATTGAATATTTCTTACGAGCTGCACAATGGCAAAGAGCAGTCTCACCAAGGTTAGGTGTTCCACCAGCTCCTGTCAAAAATAGCATTTGGTCAAGTCCTTATATAAATATGGTCTCCCACTAGGTTTGCTAGTTACAGCAGGAGCAGTTATGATGTTGAAAAGAAATAAAGCAAATGTTGTAAATAATACTGAAGTAGCTGAAGTTAAACAAACTCTGACACCTTCGCCAAAACCAACGTCAAAACCAACACCTTCACAACAACCTTCAATGACTCCTGAACCTATGGAATTACAAACTCCTGTTCAAAAGTCAACTCCAAAACCGACTCCAACATTTAAACCAGAACCTACACCACAAATAAATCGTAAAACCCCTGTGTTTCCTTACTGAAAAAATAACGTTATTTTTATTTAATATTAAAATTTTTATTTGATTGAAATGACAAATAAAGTCACTGAAGCAATGAAACAAAAGTTTTTGGTAGAATACATTAAATCAGGAACTATTCCAGAAGGTTTTTACATTCATACTATGAAGGATGGTAGAGTTCAGTTTAGAAAGATAAAGCAACCATTAGATAAAGAAGGAATTTTGAGAAAGATTAAACTTCATGAGGACAACATTGCTGAACTTAAGAAGAAGCTAGAAGAGTTGGAGAAAGGAAGAGAGTTATAAAGCAATGAATTCAACAGGGTGAAAAAAGAGGTGAAAAAAGAGGTGAGATCTCACCACTTCACCTAAATTTATTTTTGTGCTATGTTTTCATACGCGTGAGGGTGGTGATATCATTTATTTTTAAGTTTATTTTTAAGTTTATTTTTATATAAATGACGAAAACTATTGAGATAACAAACTACAACGGTCATGAGTTCAAGAATTTGTTCTTCGTTCCTCGTGAAAATACATTCTATCAGATACGAGGGAGAAAGGGTAAAGTTAGTTTGAGCGTTTATGACTACAAGCATAATGGAAAGTTTATACAAGCATATGATACAAACGGTAAGCGTGTTTCATTAGCTTTGTCAAAACTTACAGGTATAAACTATGACAGTGATTTTGACCTATATGAAGAAGAAAGTGAGTCAGAAGATTATGAGCTGTTATATGAAGCACAGCAATGGGAGGAGTTGCAATACTTTTGTAAGTGAGAACGTTTATTTTTTTACATTAGTGAGGTGAAGTGGTTTGTGAAAACGTTAGTGAGGTGAAGTGGTTGGTGGCTTTGTAAATATTTAAGGTTAAGTTAGTGTTGTCGTTTGTGTTTGTGTTGTAAAATATACGTTAATGGTTTCGTAAAGTGTCAAATTCACATATCAAGGGTAAGGAGGCGCGCAGTGCCGTCGTACCCTTGATATGTATACTAACTCATTCACAAAAGGCACTTATAACGGTATTGAAGTCTTACGTAGAGACAAGGATGGTTACATTAATGCAACAAATATGTGTCAGCAGTTTAGGAAAGACTTTAGAAAGTTGTTGGAAAATAAGTCCTGGGAAGAGTATTATAAGGCATTTTGTGAAGAATATAGCAACAGTCCGAATTCCGGCGGTTGCTTTTTATACAAAATTCATGCAGGAATTCCTGATGAAATCAAACAGGTTAGAGGAACGTATGTAGACCCAAAACTTATAAACTATATAACAATGTGGGCTTCTCCAAAAAATTGCATAGCAGTTGGAAAAATTATGGACTCCATAGACAAGAAAGTTCATGAGAAGTTAGATGAAGAAGAACTCGAAGATACAGTAGAGAATGCAAAACATTTGTTTGAAGAAGAAGTTAGAAAAATGCATGAAAAACAATTAGAACATGAACGTGAGATATGTTATGGTTATAGAGATTCTCCATACGAACTAGACCAATGGGAACAAGAAGATTTAAAGAGAGAATTTAGAGAATATGAACTCGCTAAGATAGCATTAGAAGCTGCAGAAAAGAAGTTAAAAGTTTGGGGTCGTTTTGTACAAAAATATTGTGAGTAAATGAACTCATTATTTTTATTGAATTCAGCACAAAATTCTGAGTAAAATGACATATGGCACGTGTCAAACCGTTGAGTTTTCACAAATTTTAAAAATTGCTGCGGAAAGTTCGTCAAAAAAGTGAAGGTTCCCGACGGTTTCAAACCGCCATACTTTACATGAAGATAGTTTACAATGTCAACTAAATATCATGTACGATAGAAACGGTTATGTAAAGTTTACATTTTGTAAAGTTTTGTCCTGATTCAAGACAAGTCTTGTATTTTTTCAGAACAAGTCTTGTATTTTTTCAAGACAAGTCTTGTCCTGATTCAGAACAAGACTTGCACTTTTTAGTCAGTTTTTCTTGTAAAGTTCTCAAATTTGAGAACAATTGTCCTGATTCAAGACAAGTCTTGTATTTTTTCAGAACAAGTCTTGTATTTTTTTCAAGACAAATCTTGTCCTGATTCAAGACAAGTCTTGCACTTTTTCAGGAAATCCTATCGTCCAACTTTACAAATGTCACTTTTCAACATGATTGCATTTTGGTCGGGGGACAACTTTCTCTCATTTTGTCACTTTTTCTATCGTCGTGTTTTGTCACTTTTCCCTCAGGGTGTGTGTCAGAAAATATCCAAAATCTTTATAGCCTCGTATCTCCTTCAATTCTTGACGGTTTGACATGTATGACACACCATTCAATTCAGAATTATATGCTGAATCTTATGACCTTCATTTGTTCGTGACTTCTTTTCACATATGTAACCATGAATTTTTAACATTTCTTTAACACAGAAAAAATAAAGTTAGTTTTTATTTTTTCGAATTTTTTATTTTGTATGTAAAGACAGTAATGTCAACATCAGAGAACACAACAATTGCTATCGTTCATGAAGCCATAAATGAAGAATACGAGTACATACAGTATAACAAACAGTTACGTCTCATTCGTTCGGTCAAAGACGATATGTACCAAATGCAAAGTATAATGAATGCTCTTCGTTCTACAAAGCAAGCATATCATTGGTTTGAAAACCAACAGACAAAAGAACTTTTAGAAGAATTTCCTCATATGATTGCTTCCCTCGGAAAACCGGGGGAAGAGATTCCGTATGAAAATCGCAAGAATTTGGCTCCTGGTTTGAAAGGTTATTATGTTCATAGACTTTTAGTAAATGATGTAGCAATGTGGGCTTCACCTCGTTATGCTTGTTATATTTTCATGATGTTAGATGAACTATATAAAGCAGAACGTGAAGATATGGAAATGAAACTTCAAGCAAAAGATGAAGTCATTGAATCCAAAGACAAAAGCATACAGAAAAGAATACCGCGTTCGGTACCAAAAGGAAAGGAAAAGAGTTATAAGTATATGATATATACTGAAGAGATGGAAAATGAAGAAGATAAAGATATGGTTATGTTGCATTTAGTGAGAAGAAACAACAAGAGCTTTTATGACTTAGCTAAGATATATAAATCTGACAGAAACTGGTTCTATCGTGAAAACTTACCGATTTCAATGACACCGAATGAGCAAATAAAGGAAATTGTCAAAAATACTCTTCCTCAAACACACTATGACATCAAAGGTTGCACAATACTTACATTCAAAGAAGACTTAACATTACTGAAGGAAAAAATAACAGAATATTTCGATAACTTCAAAGAGGAAGAATAAAAAAAATCTAAGCTAATTTTATTTTTTTATAAAATTTTATCTCATATGAAAGAACATGAATTTAGAATATTCGGAACTCATGACAGAAGAAGAGAACGAACAACATGTAAAAGATTATGCAAAATTTCTGAAGACATACAAAGCATTTAAACAATATCTAAATGCTTCTAAAGATTATGCAAAATTTCTGAAGGTATATAAAGCTTATGAAAAAGCGTATGAAAAGTTTATACATTGGGGAATTGTTGTAAAATATCGATATGAAGACTAACCAAAAATATATTTTTGCTTAAATGACGTCAGGGTCAATTTCTTCAACCATTTCACTTCCTTCGTCAATGTCAATAGAAGCTTCTTCAACCTTTGGTAAGAATTTCTGTATAACATCTTTGTTCGTTATTGTCTTCAGAGATGAAGGATAATATTTCACATTTGTTTCACCCTTCTTATATTCTTTCTGTTCGGAAAGATTTAAAGCAATACTGAAGAAGTCAATGTTAGAGTTCTTTATGACAGTATAATGAGTATCTTTGACATTCACGAAGAAACTCTTTTGTTTCAAAACTACTGCTAACTCTTGTGAAGTATAACGTTTGCGGTCAATGACGATAGCTAATGGTCTGACATACTGACCAAACTTAGATTCTTTCACAAACTTCTTGTTAAAGATAACATTAACATTTGAAGCATTATTGAACTCATTCTTGATGGCAGTAGCGAGAGCATTGTATGAAAAGAACTTGCAATCTTGCATGTGTTTCATTAAAATAAAAATATTAAATTATTTTGAAAAATAACTTTAAAAAATCTAATCTAATTTTTTCAAAAAAATATTTTTTTATTTCCTACTAAAGATGTATCGGAAGTTGTCTAAGTTAGAACACTCGGAAATAAAACAACTTCTTACAGAAGCTAATATAGATGTTGCAAAACATTACGCAACAAACAAAAAAGCACTCGCTGCCATCCTCAATGACTATAATGGTGCAATAAGTTATGATAGAATTCATGAGTTCATAAAGCCGCAACGCGGCGAGGACGAAGTCCATGCAAGAGCATTTCCTTTAAATGACGTTGCTATTGACTTATATCATAGACGTTCAGTACCTCATGAAGTAAGAAGAGAAATGTATGACATAACAAATGCAAACGTTGGTCATACTCGTAAAGCTCTTTCTCATGACGTTCGTCAAGAGATGTTTGAACTTACGAACTCAAACGTTGGTGAAACAAGAAGAGCTGTACCTCATGAAGTAAGAAGAGAAATGTATGACATAACAAATGCGAACGTTGGTAAAACACGAAAGAGAGACGACACACTGAAACAACAGAGAAGAGAGATGTTTAAAAGTGCTATAGAACAAGTTCGCAAAGCTAACGATGTCATTCATTCCATTGACGACAAACCAAAAGAAGGTGAGAGATGGTTAAAGAAAGATGAAGAGAATAGGAAGAGAAATGTGAAGTCAGGCAATAGACTCATTGACTTTAACATCGAAGCTTTAGATGAACCAAACAGAGACTACTTACACAAACATTTCGGTAAGGTTTTCATGAGACTCTTAGAGAAGATTAAAATAAACTCCCAACAAAGATGGATGGTATGTTATAAACTTGGTGGAAAGTATGAATGTTCTACGTTAAACCTCAATAATATTGGAACATTACTACATCAGCTCTTGAAGGAGAACTTTATATCAGAGATAGAAGCAAATGCTGCAGGTATTGTTGAAATGCACTATGACTTCTTCTTGACAAACATAAAGAATCTTACTGAAATAAAGATGTATGATTTAACAGAATATGAAGGCTTAACGATGTCAGATGTAAAGAAAGGAAAGCCAAAAAAGAGACCATATAGAGATGAAAGCACACTGACAAATGACCAGAAAGCCATTTTGGAAGCTCTTAAGCAAACAGGAAACCCAGCACTTATAGAAAGCTTTTGGAAAGATAATGGTGAAAAGAAGTTTTATAAGAAGAGAAGCGGTCAGTTCTGGAAGTATCTTTGCACATTACCTATAAATCTTGAACGCTACCAAATCTTCAATGAATTGAACAAAAGAACTGCAACACTTATGACAGAAGACAATTGTTTCGTTTATGCTTGCATTCAGGCTGGAGTAAATGAAGAAACTATTGACCACATGAGAGAAGTCATTCGTGTTAGAGACTTTCCTCAAAGTAAAGTACAAGAAATTTCTGACGCAACAGGTATAGCATTTAATGTTACCATTGGTTACTTCAATGACTCAAGACATAATGAAATAAAGAGATACATACCAAAAGAATGTAAAACTGTTCGAACTATTGACTTACTTCTTGTTGAAGACCACTACATGCTAAATGAAAGATTACCAATGACAACATATTTCATTCGCAACTATATAGAAATCTTGAAGGAGTGTGGTGGAATGAACATTGAGAAACAGATGAAGATTTATACAAAGAGAGAGAGCAAATATGTAGTTCGTTATGATAGAACAACACCGTTATGGGATGTTATGAAAACATTGTGGGAGTGCAAATATTTCGAACCTATTTCTTATGGAGAACTTTTCACATATACGACTGACTTATATAAACAGAACCTTGCACCATTTAAAGATTTGACATATGCTCCAAAGTATTGTGTACAACTGAAGAAGAAAGCCGAGTCAAAAGAAGTAAATAAAGCTAAATGTAAGTTCATTCCTGAGCACGTTTTCTTTGCTGACTTTGAGTGCAGTACCGATGGCTTTCATAAAGCTTTTAACATCTGTTATGACAGTGAAGATGGTTCAGTGAGTGAAAGCATTTGGGGTCAGAACTGTGCAACAGAATTTTTGGAACGACTTCCTGACAAGAGTTTAATATATTTCCATAACCTCAGTTATGATATAAACTTCATCTTAAGACACATGACAGAAGTGAAAGGAACTCCCATCATTAAAGGTTCACGAACAATGCAAATAACTGGCTTATATAAAGGAAGGGCAATTATTATAAAAGACTCTTACAGTGTTATAAATAAGAAGCTTAAACTATTTCCTGCTATGTTTAACTTACAAACAGGACCGAAAGAAGTATTTCCATACAACTACTACAGCAGTGTTTTGTTAGCAAATGACAACAGAACTGGTGTCATTTCTGAAGCATGTAAGTTTGTAAAAGATATTGATACATTCATGAAAAACATAGATTCCATCAAAGGGTGCAGAATAGATGAGAACCACTTCGACTTAGAAAAATATAGCACATTCTATTGCAAACAAGATGTAAGAATTTTAAGAGAAGGTTTTGTTAAGTTCCGCAATGACATATTGAAAGAGTTTGATTTAAACGTATATGACTACGTTAGTATTTGTTCTATTGCTAACAAATTGTTTGAGAACAGAGTGTACTTCCCGAATGGAAATTTATATGACCTCTCAAATAAACCAAGAGAATTTATTTCACGCTGTATTCAAGGTGGAAGATGTATGCTGTCAGATAACATGAAACAAAAGAGCGAAAAGAAACTCATTGCTGACTTCGACGCTGTTTCATTATATCCATCCGCTATAGCAAGACTTTATACTTTAGAAGGTATTCCAAAGGTTATGAAGAAAGAAATGTTAAGCACAGAGTATCTCATGAGACATTTATTCGATGACGACCAAAAGGAACCCATTGGTGAAAAGTTTATGTCTGGCTTCTTTGTTCTCATTAAGATAACAGAGATTGGAATACATAGACACTTTCCTTTAATAGTTTGTGACCCTGAACTAAATCCAGAACTTAACGTTCCCAGAAGTTCAAACACTTGCTGTTTAATGTATGTTGACCATATAACATTACAAGACCTCATAAAATATCAAGGTGTCAAATGTGAAGTGTTGCAAGGATACTATTACGATGGAAACAGAGATATTAGAATAAGAGATGAAGTAAAGAAGTTGTTTGAATTAAGGTTAAAGTATAAGAAAGAAGGAAATCCTTTGCAAGAAAATATAAAGCTCATTCTGAACAGTATTTATGGCAAAACTATTCTATCTCCTATTGAGTCAAAAATAACCATAGTAAATGACAAAGATGCTATAAGATATGCCATCAGAAACTACAACCATATAGTGAAGTTCGAAGGTTTGGATGGTTCAGATAAAACTATTTTCAAGCTAACAAAAAGCATTTGCAGACACTTTAACTTCTGTCCACTTGGTGTTAACATTCTGTCTATGTCGAAGAGAATAATGTGTGAAGTATTCTGTACTGCTGAGGACTTAGGAATGGACATCTTTTATAGCGATACGGACAGTATGCATCTCTACAATGAAGATATCCCTCGTTTAGCTGAAGATTTGAGAAACGTTATGGAAGAGTTCTCATTGGTAAAAACCTTGGTCAATTTCATAGCGACTTTGCAGAAATCACAAAAAGATAAACAAAGTTTAGCATACAAGTCAATATTTTGTGGAAAGAAGACTTACATAGACTTACCCACGAATGATTTAAATGAAGTTGCATTTCACTGCAGAATGAAAGGCGTGAAGCAAGATGTTATTGCTTTAACCGCTAATGAAATGTTTCCTGACTCTGTTCAGTGTTTCTATGATGAAGATAAAGGTTTAATGGTTCCGCAAGGAAAATTTGACAAAGACTCTGAGTTCAGTGTTATGAAGTTATATAAAGCACTTTATGACGGTCAAGAGATTGCATTCGACTTATGTAAGTCTGCTACACCTGCATTTGAAGAGAAGTTTAACTTTTCTATTCAGACTAAGACTTCATTCATAAGAAAGCTTAAGTTCTGAGGTCATGAATGAGAAAAATAATGAGGTCATTTATTTTTGTCAGCAGTGAGACCATTCATGATAAAAATAAGCCGCTAGCGGCAAGGGCGAAGCCCATGTGGTCATTTACAATACTGCGATGGTAGAGTTTAAGAGTTGTGCTTCAATGTAGAGACAGTCCTTATGGTCTGGAGGTAAGAACACTGGGCAGTTATGGTCATGAGTGGAGAACATGTCTATCCAAAACTCACGATTGAAGCCAGTTAATTTATAGTATTTAGGGTTAGGAAGTGGTGAAGTTCTTGTATGACCAATGAAACTCATTTTCAACTCCCTTACTTAAGTTTGAATATAATATAGCTTGCTTTCTATCCCAAATGCCAGGTGTTACAATCTTTGAAAATTCATTTTTCCTCGGAAGCATTGCATCATAATTGAAAACATTCTTGAAGTCTTCATTGGGTTCAGAGATTTGAAACCTTATACGTAATGGATTTTCTTTCTCTTTAGCGACTTCATTGAATGGTGAGAATACAACAAACTGACAGTCATGTGTTCCATCTTCATTTTCATTAAATTCATAATGAAAGTCTATAAGTTGTGGCTGACTACCTTCTTCTTTCAGTTGTGCAAGAAACTCACGTAAAGGCTGTAAAGTTTGTACTTCAATGTTGAACTTTTTCTCGAACATCTCATTAAATGAAATCATACATTGTTGCAATGTTGTATCGTCTTTAAAGTATTTGTATATGTGAATGTTTTGGGCGCTTAAAGACTGTTCGTCATTTTCTATCTCGACTTGAAGTATAAAGTCAACCTTTCTGAAAGCACGTGTTATATACATAGATGTTATGCCAATGTACTTCTCTTCATTTATGTTCACAATCCAGTCTGTTGGAAACTTAAACGTTACTCTGTTCCCCTTTATTTTGACGTCAGGGTTTTCACTACTGAACGCAACAGATAAAGGTATTTGTCTATACATTTAATTCGGATAAAAATAAACCATTTACTCTTTCTTTGCTTCAGCTTCTTTAGCTTTTTGTTCTTCCTTTGCTTTTGCTTCTTCTCTAGCTTTCTTCGCCAGCAAACGTGGGTTCTTTTGTCTTCCAGCAGCTAATGCAGCAAGTTGTTTTTCACTAAGTTTTCTCTTTGGTCTCTCTGGCTTTTGTTCTTGTTTTTGTTCCTTCAGTTCGGATAAAATTTGCTCGCGAATTTCTTTCTTCAACGCTTCAACATCTATGACCCCTTGGGTCTTGTCCGTAGGGCTTGTCTGAGTCATTTGACTGCAGATAAAAAACAAAATTAAAACTTTAACCGATGTAAAATGAGCTTGTCAAAATCAGAGCGAGAGTTTATTATATTAAATGACGCAAGAGGAATACAACATCCTTTCTATTATGTAAGTCAGAGTAAAGATGGTAAAATATACGTAAGAAAAAGAAAGGTTCCATTAGCGAATGCAGAGAGCGACAACATTAAGGTGTATGGCACCGAGGGCGAAGCCCATATAAAACCTTCTGTTCAAACTGAGCCACCAAAAGAACAAGAAGAAAAGAAGCCAGATGTTCTTTCAATAACGAACCAAGAGCTTATTGCAAAGTTCGTGAATTTCATTGAAAAACAAACCGAGTCAAAGAACCCTGACCCACCAGTGAAAGAAGTTGAGACAAAAGAGAATGTACAGTTCATTGAAAATGTCAAGAAACAACTTCCACCACGAATGCCAAGAAGAAGAGTGAGAATAATGAAGTAAATAGATATTTTTATCTGAAGTAAATACATGCAGAACGAACAGCTAAACGAATTTACTCCAGCAGAGCATATTCATCAGATTCGCTCATATTTCGATATCATAGACAATGCAGTTCAAATTGGTGACACTAATAGAAAATATTCTGACGCAAAGATTCCATCACAACCTGGAACTGCTAAAGATAACACATGGGTAACATTCAATCTCTCACCTCCTGGTGAAAATATGTTGGACCTTTACAATACATTCATTACGTATAAAATGGAAGGTCAATTTATTGTAGATAAAGAAATTGGTTCAGGTTCCAATAAAACAAACCCACCAGGATTTTGGATTGGTTTCGATGACGCTTTCTATGCAGTTGCTGGATATCAAATCCTTGCAAATGGTCGTATCGTATATTCTCAAGACAATGCAAGAGAAGAAGCATATATAACTTCAAACTCACAAACTACCGAACAAATAAAGAAAGTAGATGTTTTCTCAAAGACTCGACATGAAGATGTATGGAGTCATTCGGGAACATGCAGAACAGGACAAATTGTTAGTGGTCCAATTACAGCAGGAAAATCATTTGATTTTAAGCTTCGTTTAAGAATTCCTGTTAGAAGATTCCTTCCATTAGAAGCTATTCGATTTATTCCAGCTTTTGCAGGAAACATTCAGCTTAAAGTAAAGTTCAGTGGCGACGCCTTACAATGCACATCTATATCTGTAAATGATATCATTGCTTTCAATCCAACTCTTAAAGTTGCATTTGATTCAGATTCAAATCCACCGACAAATAAATTTGTTCCATGGAATGAACCATTCACTATGATAACGAAGGCAGTAGAAGCTAGTGGAACAGTTACTATTACAACTGTAACCCAGCAACTATTTCGAACAAAGATGGATTTTAATGAATGTTTCATTCATCCAAAGTCATTCTCTTTAGACCCTAACATTTATACAGAACTTGTAGAACATTATACAAACGAGGCTTTATGTTTTCCTGTTAAAGTTATGGATTGGATTCCTATGGACGGTTCATTCTCAAAGAATACAGATAGTTCAAGTGCAACATTTACAGCAGCTTATACGCCTATTAATGTTAAAAGTATTTGGGCACTATTTAGAAAGAAAGACAACTATTATGTTAATTTTGAGAACCCTAAGTTTAAATATCTTCAGCTTTCCATGGGAGCTTATGGAAATATGCCTGCAGAACCTGAAAAATCATATGGACCTGTATTTTATGAAATGGTTGCGAACGCTTGCAATACAAACAATGATATGATTGGATTTAATGAAGATGTTATGAGGTCATTGGTGGATGATGGTAGTGTGGAACATAAATGGGATAGCTATGACAACACACATTTCTTATGTGGTTTTCCAACAGAAGTGGACTTTTGCTTCCAGCAAGGTCAAACATCTACTGCTCCAATAACATACAAATTGTCTGTTAAAGGACCTATTGAACTAGCAACTGAAAATGTACCAAAGCCACTTATTGGATTTATGAGGGATTGTTGCTTTGCCATTCAGGTGCGTGCTAATGGCATCCCCATAATAAGATTAGATGACTATAACTTAGCTACGGACGACAGTGAGGAATAAAGGATGAACGTTTATTTTTAAAGCTTATAAATGAGTTCTTCATCAAGCTCTCGTGAACCTTCACCATCTATGAAACAAACTTTACCAAACGATTATGGAGCACCTATTGAATATTTCTTACGAGCTGCACAATGGCAAAGAGCAGTCTCACCAAGGTTAGGTGTTCCACCAGCTCCTGTCAAAAATAGCATTTGGTCAAGTCCTTATATAAGATATGGTCTCCCACTAGGTTTGCTAGTTACAGCAGGAGCAGTTATGATGTTGAAAAGAAATAAAGCAAATGTTGTAAATAATACTGAAGTAGCTGAAGTTAAACAAACTCTGACACCTTCGCCAAAACCAACGTCAAAACCAACACCTTCACAAACAACACCTTCAATGACTCCTGAACCTATGGAAGTACAAACTCCTGTTCAAAAGTCAACTCCAAAACCGACTCCAACATTTAAACCAGAACCTACACCACAAATAAATCGTAAAACCCCTGTGTTTCCTTACTGAAAAAATAACGTTATTTTTATTTAATATTAAAATTTTTATTTGATTGAAATGACAAATAAAGTCACTGAAGCAATGAAACAAAAGTTTTTGGTAGAATACATTAAATCAGGAACTATTCCAGAAGGTTTTTACATTCATACTATGAAGGATGGTAGAGTTCAGTTTAGAAAGATAAAGCAACCATTAGATAAAGAAGGAATTTTGAGAAAGATTAAACTTCATGAGGACAACATTGCTGAACTTAAGAAGAAGCTAGAAGAGTTGGAGAAAGGAAGAGAGTTATAAAGCAATGAATTCAACAGGGTGAAAAAAGAGGTGAAAAAAGAGGTGAGATCTCACCACTTCACCTAAATTTATTTTTGTGCTATGTTTTCATACGCGTGAGGGTGGTGATATCATTTATTTTTAAGTTTATTTTTTATTTTATTTTTATATAAATGACGAAAACTATTGAGATAACAAACTACAACGGTCATGAGTTCAAGAATTTGTTCTTCGTTCCGCGTGAAAATACATTCTATCAGATACGAGGGAGAAAGGGTAAAGTTAGTTTGAGCGTTTATGAAGGAATGAAGAATGGAAAGTTTATACAAGCATACGATACAAACGGTAAACGTGTTTCATTAGCTTTGTCAAAACTTACTAACATTTATTTTGACAGTGACTTTGACTCTGACGATTGGAGCGACAGCAGCGATACTGAAGAATATGAACTATTGTGTGAAGCACAGCAATGGGAAGAGTTGCAATACTTTTGTAAGTGAGAACGTTTATTTTTTACAGTAGTGAAGTGAAGTGGTTGGCGGCTTTGTAAATATTTAAGGTTAAGTTAGTGTTGTCGTTTGTGTTGTAAAATATACGTTAACGGTTTTGTAAAGTGTCAAATTCACATATCATGGGTAAGGAGGCTCGCAGTGCCTCCGTACACAAGATATGTATACTAACTGATGCTCCAATTCGCTCCGAAAATTCAAATATTGCAGACTCTACAGATTTAGAACCAGAAAATCAAAACCATCCTTCTACAAATCAAATGTCTAGTAATCTAGAACATAAGCTGGACCTTCTTGATCATATTGAAAAACAATTATCGAAAATGCGCTCGTTATTGGGAATTCTTCCTACTACAAATGCTATTGTTGGGCCGTCAAAACAAGTTTCA